CTATCTGAACGCCTGGAACAGGCTATTGTTAACTTGATACATATATACACATGCGATTTGCATCGCGGCGATTCGATGCAATTTTTGTCGCGCTCAAGTCGCATCCTCAAATCGTGATGCAAATTTGCGGCGATTTTTCATAAAAAAGTAACAAAATTACGTATCAGGGGGACCCACGGGGAGGTTTGGTTTACGCCCGGGTTACAAACAGGGATAATTACTCGGTAAAAAACGTTCAAAAGTATCCAAAACCTGGACTTACAATAATACGATTTAATATAATGTGATTTATAAGAAATGTTATAAAGAATTTCAAGCCACAGTAAGGTAAAAAGTGTGATTGAATGCCAAAACGTAAGCTTATTGTGTTTACAACCTCTTAAATAACGACAATAATAGTATTTCTTCGTTACAGGCAGGATGGATGTTCTTTTAAGAAAATCACACTGCATTCTACTTCTATGCATGGTGGTGATATTCTTATCAAGGGTAACTAATGGTAATCCGTTATCCCCAACCTGGTAAAAGCCATAGCAAAAATGATAGAGCGATACGAGAAAGGAGAGCTAACAACAGCAACCGTCATTCATTACCATCATGAAATTGGGGACCAAGCCATTAGAGAAACCCTGTTTCTTCCTGGGGTCATTATCTGGGATCCGTTATTTCAGCATTTTCGTGGAAACTTACCTTGTCCAGAGTGTGGTGAAGATCTGAAACCTAGATGCTGGAAAGATGGAAAGGATTGGAAACACAACAGTCCTAGGCAGCTTGCAGATATAGAATGCCCTGTTCTGCTGGTAAGTAGGGTATATGCATGCAAAAATGATCATCGGACAATCGGTCATGACCCTAAAATTCTGAAAAAGTTTGGACAGGTAGAACTGATCCCTTTCCTTCTTTTGCACAAAAATGGGATTACTCGACGTTTATACAGATTAATAATCGTTCATGCTGCGTCAGGAATGAGGTACATGGACGTGGAAGCACTTTTAGCACAGATGTGGCATAGTTATCACGCCGAGGCAAGCATTAGGACCTTAACACTGTTACGTATGAGAATTTCAGAGGATAGACCATCAATCAACGTGAGTCACACGACAATGCCGCAGATTTCACAGTTAAACCCTAACAGAAAACTGATTCGCCAATGCTTTGTTCATGACTATTGCACGAAAGAAAAACTTTACAATGCACGCATGTCATCGTTCACAGGTGGTTGGCTCTCTTCTGACCACACATTCAAGGTCGCTGGGAATGTCGGATTATGGCAAAATGGCCATTGGATTCGCCAGTTCGACTCTTTGTTTTCTGTCATGAATGAGGATGGAATTGTCATCGCGTGGCAATTAACGAGAGGCACTGGTTTTGCCAGGGTGAAGACCCTACTCATGGGAATTCGGAACAGGCTACAAAATAGCGGAGTTACCTTGCAGGGATTTTCCATTGACAACTGCTGCGCCTGGAGATTACTCCTTCAAGCAGTATTTGGAGTTATTCCAATTAAACTTGATCTCTTTCATGCAGTGCAACGCATCGCTAGTAAAATTAAAAAAAACACCCATTAAGAAGACAATGCCTTGATGCATTTCGTTTAGTCTTTCGGAAGTCGGGCGATATCGAAAAAGAACGTAAGAAGCCAACGCCTTCTCGCGAAGTGATGTTGACAAATTTAAATAGGTTTCTGGAAAATTGGGAAAATGTTGAACTTGCAGGGGAAAAGGTACTTTCACAGCATGTCCACAACCAACTGGACAAGTTAAGAAAACATATTAAGAAAGGTTGCTTGGAAGATATTCCTCCTAAAGCAGGAACAAGCAGACAGGAAGCAATGCACAAAAGCCTCCGAAAAAGCGTAGAAAAAAGGAGAGTTGGCGTTAAAGTAGCTGTGGCAAGCATAGGAACGTGCCTATACAGATGGAACGAAAGACGGTTGTCGGACAAGGTTGGATCGTGCCATTCACAAGTTCCGGTCCCAGTCACCCACTACCAGGACTTGTCAGTCAGTCAGGAAGAAGTATTTGGTACTGGAATGATTCAAAATGGAAGCGGTTTTAGCGATGATGACTCGGAAGATGGCACTGACGTCGATGCCTGTGAAAATGAGTCAACGGGTAGCAGTAGTGAGGACGGGGACTATGGGATTGATGACAACGATAATGTGAGGATCAGCGAGGAAGACGCGTATCATCGAGTTTTAGAGTATGCCCTGTACATGAAGAGCCTGGCTCACGATTTGCAAGCGAAATGCGATGCACCCACGATGAAAGTTAATCTGACACAGTTCGTAGGACGCAGCCTTCTATTATTCTCATCGCATGCAAGTTCCTCCAGACCAGACGCAGGAAAATGCAGGAGAGGTTAACCAGCATTTTAAATGCATTTGGCTTTGAACAGTTGTCGATGCCAGGGGATGGAGACTGTTTTCTACATTGCATCTCTTTCAGTTTGAGCTCTCTTCTTACTAGAGATAACTCCAACTTAGCCACTTACTTGAAATCAATCGGTATCAGCATAGAGATACCTGACAAGGACAAAATCAACGTTCTTAGGCGGTTGATTGTGCAAGAATTTATGGGGCCTAATCGGCATGTTTACGAGCCATTTCTGATAACAAGCACCACTGATTCATATGACGCAGAAGCTCAAAAGTTCCTTGAGTCGGGCCATTATGATTCTGAATTAGGAAACTGTGTTCCACTGGCGATGAGCAATATCCTTCAAGTACCCTGGTTATTTTTACCTCCATGGAAAATTATCCCATCACTCACGTAATTCCCAGAACACGAGTGCTATCTGAAGTTCCGATATACCTTGCTTTTAGTCATAGTGATAGCGGCCACTACGACTTGGCAGTTGAAGGCAATCGCACAGAGTCGAATTCAACTGTAACTGAAACAACCGGCAAGGAGCCAGACACACAAATGCCAGTTGAGGTAGATCTCCCCACTCAAAATCAAACGGGATGTTCGTGTGGTCGCGGAGCCGCCAGGAAGACAGCGAAAAGTGAATTCTGCAAACACTATAAATCACGCTGTCCGTGTTTTCGTGCCTTGCGAAGCTGCAATGTTAACTGTTCCTGTCGTTCGTGCGTGAATCCGTTTGGTCGCAAAGCTAATGAAAAAGGCATCTTTGATCCGCCACCACGAAAGCGACAAAAACAAGACCTTCAACAAGACGTCAAGCAAACAGACAAAGGCTATATGGAAACGAAAGCGGAAGAGCCCATTGCTACAACTTGGTTGGAAGACGAACTGTACGTCATTGAAGCACTGATCTTGTACTTGTTAGTTACAAGCCAAGATATCACTCCGAACAGAATCTTTGCAGACTATCACAAGATAGTAGAATTCTGCTCTGCCGAAGATATAAGTTTTCAACGTGTATTTTCTCTACGTCGTAAATCCGCGTCAGCAATAACCAAGAAACTACAAGACATAAAGAACAAATTAAAAGTTGACGAGGAATTCTTCAAAAAGCAAATCCAGTACAACTGGTTTTTTGACTAAATCGTATTTGCGCTAAGAGATAACAGAATGATGTATTTTACTTGACAGGCAATCTCGTACTCAAGGCCTCATTCCCATTGGTCATTGAAATAAGTTTTTTCTGAGTTTTTCAGCCATTGCTGGATTTCACGGCGCACCAATTCCTGCTGCACGGAAGCAGTTTAAAAAATGAGAGCCAATCAAATGTGGACAAACTTGTTTGGTATTCTGGCTGATTCCTGATTAAAGAAAACATGGAATAGACGGTGATGGTGTTACGTTGGGACCTATTCCGTTCAGTTCTCGGATTTAAAAGAATACTGTTTACCCGAAATAAGGAAAATAGTGTCAAAATTTTATATTATTTTTTATTAAAATAGTCATAAATTCTTGTTTTCTTGGTGCAGAAAAAGAAAAAGAAAAGCGACTCTTGGAACGAAATCATTACTTTAGACTGTACTGTATTACTACGAGAAGATATTTTGCTAAAAACGCGACTTAGTTATAATTGTTAATGTTTTAATGTTGGCGATGCCGGGTGTTTATTTTATTCAGGATTGGATAGCGTGAGATTACAAACATGCTTATATAAAGAGTAAAAATGCACTGCGTGTTAAGACTAATTCATAGAGTACATTCTGAAAAGAGAATCGAACTATTCTGAAATTTATCTGGATAATCAATAATACAAGAGAAATGTCAAAAATTTCACACTCATATTTGAAATGAATGCTTTTGAAATTGATTACTTTATCTAATAATGTCCAAGGATAATTATACTTGCATATTTTTGAAGCCAAATAAATTAAAGTTTATTGTGCTTCAATCCTTCAAACATTTTCGCTTAAAGCCGCGCGCGCTGTTTGTGAAAGTTACATAATGGCCTTTTTATGGCTTTTAGTCTTTTCACGAAGCCGATAGAAATCGTAATGTTTCTTGCTTTTACTTTTAACTGAGGTAATATTTTAGCTTTTCGTCATGAACAAAAAGTTAAATTCTAAAATCAACTTTTGCAAACATGTCACAAAACCAAGCGAAGGCCGCAACCACCTTATTTTCAATCTTGTCACGAAAAGCTTATCGCGGTCAAAATATTTTGTACGTGGGATATTGACGTTTTAGTGTGTTTCGGCTGTTAAGACAGCAAAACGTTCTTACACCCAACGAAGCGAATCTTGTTTGAACACTGGGGATTTCCCAAATTTTAATTGGGGCATATAGGACTCTATAGTGCGACGTATTTTGACCATTCGAACGCAAGCGAAAATATTTGAGGGATTATAAAGAGGAATAACGCCGTATTAAAATGATAGTAATAAGTTTTTAAATAATAAGTTTATTTAATGCATCTTAAGAATAAAAATACAAAAATATTCCGCTCGTTAAAGTTGTACACTTTAAATCGCGTTTGTTAGCCGCATTTCCTACTTTTCCTACTGTACCTCTATTACTTCTATTCCTCTGTTCCTCTGTTCTTACTGTTCCTACTTAATTCCTACTGTTCCTCTGTTCCTACTGTTCCTCTGATCCTACTGTTCCTCTGTTCCTACTGTTCCTCTGTTCCTCTGTTCCTACTGTTCCTACTGTTCCTACTGTTCCTCTCTTCCTACTTAATTCCTACTGTTCCTACTGTTCCTCCGTTCCTACTGTTCCTACTGTTCCTACTGTTCCTACTGTTCCTACTGTTCCTCCGTTCCTACTGTTCCTCTGTTCCTACTGTTCTTACTGTTCCTCTGTTCCTACTGTTCCTACTGTTCCTCTGTTCCTACTGTTCCTACTGTTCCTACTGTTCCTACTGTTCCTCTGTTCCTCTGTTCCTACTGTTCCTCTGTTCCTCTGTTCCTCTGTTCCTACTGTTCCTCTGTTCCTACTGTTCCTCCGTTCCTACTGTTCCTACTGTTCCTCTGTTCCTACTGTTCCTACTGTTCCTCTGTTCCTACTGTTCCTACTGTTCCTCTGTTCCTACTGTTCCTACTGTTCCTACTGTTCCTACTGTTCCTACTGTTCCTCTGTTCCTCTGTTCCTACTGTTCCTCTGTTCCTCTGTTCCTCTGTTCCTACTGTTCCTCTGTTCCTACTGTTCCTCCGTTCCTACTGTTCCTACTGTTCCTCTGTTCCTACTGTTCCTACTGTTCCTACTGTTCCTACTGTTCCTACTGTTCCTCTCTTCCTACTTAATTCCTACTGTTCCTACTGTTCCTCCTTTCCTACTGTTCCTACTGTTCCTACTGTTCCTACTGTTCCTACTGTTCCTCCGTTCCTACTGTTCCTCTGTTCCTACTGTTCTTACTGTTCCTCTGTTCCTACTGTTCCTACTGTTCCTCTGTTCCTACTGTTCCTACTGTTCCTACTGTTCCTCCGTTCCTACTGTTCCTACTGTTCCTACTATTCCTCTGTTCCTACTTAATTCCTACTGTTACTCTGATCCTACTGTTCGTCTGATCCTACTGTTCCTACTGTTCCTCTGTTCCTACTGTTCCTACTGTTCCTATGTTCCTACTGTTCCTCTGTTCCTACTGTTCCTACTGTTCCTCTGTTCCTACTGTTCCTACTGTTCCTCTGTTCTTACTGTTCCTCCGTTCCTACTGTTCCTACTGTTCCTCCGTTCCTACTGTTCCTACTGTTCCTACTGTTCCTCTGTTCCTACTTAATTCCTACTGTTCCTCCGTTCCTACTGTTCCTACTGTTCCTCTGTTCCTACTGTTCCTACTGTTCCTACTGTTCCTACTGTTCCTCTCTTCCTACTTAATTCCTACTGTTCCTACTGTTCCTCCGTTCCTACTGTTCCTACTGTTCCTACTGTTCCTACTGTTCCTACTGTTCCTCCGTTCCTACTGTTCCTCTGTTCCTACTGTTCTTACTGTTCCTCTGTTCCTACTGTTCCTACTGTTCCTCTGTTCCTACTGTTCCTACTGTTCCTACTGTTCCTACTGTTCCTCTGTTCCTCTGTTCCTACTGTTCCTCTGTTCCTCTGTTCCTCTGTTCCTACTGTTCCTCCGTTCCTACTGTTCCTACTGTTCCTCTGTTCCTACTGTTCCTACTGTTCCTACTGTTCCTCTGTTCCTACTGTTCTTACTGTTCCTCTGTTCCTACTGTTCCTACTGTTCCTCTGTTCCTACTGTTCCTACTGTTCCTACTGTTCCTACTGTTCCTCTGTTCCTCTGTTCCTACTGTTCCTCTGTTCCTCTGTTCCTCTGTTCCTACTGTTCCTCTGTTCCTACTGTTCCTCCGTTCCTACTGTTCCTACTGTTCCTCTGTTCCTACTGTTCCTACTGTTCCTACTGTTCCTACTGTTCCTCTGTTCCTACTGTTCCTACTGTTCCTCTGTTCTTACTGTTCCTCCGTTCCTACTGTTCCTACTGTTCCTCCGTTCCTACTGTTCCTACTGTTCCTACTATTCCTCTGTTCCTACTTAATTCCTACTGTTCCTCTGTTCCTACTGTTCGTCTGATCCTACTGTTCCTACTGTTCCTCTGTTCCTACTGTTCCTACTGTTCCTACTGTTCCTACTGTTCCTCTGTTCCTACTGTTCCTACTGTTCCTCTGTTCTTACTGTTCCTCCGTTCCTACTGTTCCTACTTTTCCTCCGTTCCTACTGTTCCTACTGTTCCTACTGTTCCTCCCTTCTTACTTAATTCCTACTGTTCCTACTGTTCCTACTGTTCCTCTGTTCCTACTGTTCCTACTGTTCCTACTGTTCCTACTGTTCCTCTCTTCCTACTTAATTCCTACTGTTCCTACTGTTCCTCCGTTCCTACTGTTCCTACTGTTCCTACTGTTCCTACTGTTCCTCCGTTCCTACTGTTCCTCTGTTCCTACTGTTCTTACTGTTCCTCTGTTCCTACTGTTCCTACTGTTCCTCTGTTCCTACTGTTCCTACTGTTCCTACTGTTCCTACTGTTCCTCTGTTCCTCTGTTCCTCTGTTCCTACTGTTCCTCTGTTCCTCTGTTCCTCTGTTCCTACTGTTCCTCTGTTCCTACTGTTCCTCCGTTCCTACTGTTCCTACTGTTCCTCTGTTCCTACTGTTCCTACTGTTCCTACTGTTCCTACTGTTCCTCTGTTCCTACTGTTCCTCTGTTCCTACTGTTCCTCCGTTCCTACTGTTCCTACTGTTCCTCTGTTCCTACTGTTCCTACTGTTCCTACTGTTCCTTTTGCTACTAGCCATTTGCTATTACGTTATTAATGACGTCAGTCAGGTCGTACGTTATTAATGACGTCAGTCAGGTCGTCGTACACGAGCCATGAGCCACATCGATGCAGGTAAGCTTGTTTTAGCTATGTTTTTAAACTAGGAATTATTTTGAATGAATAATAAAGCAATTAATGAATTCGGCTTTCATAGGATATGAAGAACAAGACGCCTAAAGTCGTTTCCCTGGGATGCGTTGGTCTATGGAAGAATAATGGCGTTCTATCGTCTGAATTTGGAAAACTTAGGAAACCGGAAAGATGTGTCTCGTTATGAGCATCGATGAGTAGGTTACCTGTATGGGTCGATTTAATGTGCTTATGACTGAATTTATAGTAGCCTACGTGGCAGGCTACCATTTTTCCCCAATCCACATCCCCTTTTTGCTTCCTCCCTATCCCCTACCCCTTTCGACAGTGGTCGCCAGGATGGAGTTGATCTTGTTTTGATCTATCGCTATATAGTTATTTTCGTAGCACGATTTGGATAAGAAAAAGAACTTATTTTGCATCAAAACAAGGTTTACCCCTTGTAACTTAAATTGAAATGTTAACGGAAACAAGTAATGGAGAACATGCGCATAATGCTCTCTGATTAACCTGAACAGGAACTATATATATAAAGATACGTCATATCTTGGTAGTAAGTTGCCACAGGTAACTTTTTCAAAGAGAAATAAACATTGTAGTTTTAGGTTAGGAACAAAACAAAACGAAACATCCGCTTGCTTTATCAAGGGTTACAAAGGGTTACAAAGTTCGATAACGTTCCAATGTTTTAATCCAAGATGAAAGTTTAATATTCCAACACAGCATGAAAAGGCAAATTTAAGTTAGCATAATGTGAGCGTAAAGCTGGTGTAAAGTTTGGATTTACACACCTTTACACGACCTTTACATTACGTAAAGTTAAGCTTTACGCTACATTTACACTTTTGCGTAAAGCTGGAGTAAAGAAACACCTGTAAGTGGACTAAAAGCCAGCGTAAAGCTTGAATAAACTTCACATTTACGCCACCTTTACATAGATCTAAATAAAGTGTATAGGCATCTTTAGGCCAGATTTATATGTACTGTGATGTAAAGTTAACGTGCTCTTGTCTTGCAGAAAAAGCGCGACAACAGACATAATACGTATAGCTGGTATAAATTCCACATTTACGCCACCTTTACATCTAAATAAAGCGTTTAGGCATCTTAGTAAGCCAGATTTAAATGTATAACTGGTGTAAAGTTGCAACATGCTCATGTATTGGCTGGAAGGCAAAGCTCAACAACAGACATGATTACATTTTCTGCTATTTTCTTCTTTGCATAATTATTTTAAACCCTAGAGGGAAAATAAAATGAGAAAATACAACGTTGGGAAGGAAAGGAGCCAGTTAAATCAATCAATCTGCTGTATTCAATCAAATTCTGTTTTATTTGTTCAAAAATCATTTTCTTATATGTCACCATTTGTACTTAAATCAATTTTCATACTGTAGCGGAAACATTTAAAATCTTGTTCTATCATCTCTTTAAGTCTAACTGTAACAGACAAATGCAAAATTGAAAACCTTGTTACAATAATAACATCAGTTACCACTTTATAAAATAAAGTAAAATTGAAAACTTCATTCCTACAGCAGAAGCTTTGAATAAATTGTCTTATAATTTAATTCTTGCTTGAAATATTTAAACCTTTTTTCTAGAAATGCACAACTATATGTAAAATTGAAAACTTCATTCTTATCTTAAAGACAAGTTGAACAGAAACATTTAAAATCTTGTTCTATCATCTCTTTAAGTCTAACTGTAAGAGACAAATGCAAAATTGAAAACCTTGTTACAAAATAACATCAGTTACCACTAATATTGAAAACTTCATTCCTAAAGCAGAATTTTGAATACCTTGTCTTATAATTTAATTCTTGCTTGAAATATTGAAGGCTTTTTTCTTGAAATGCACAACTATATGTAAAGTTGAAAACTTCATTCTTTTTTTTACAAAACAAGTTGAACAGAAACTTTAACACATGTTCTTGTATCAATGTTTGTATCAAATGCCTTGAAACAAGTGTCAAAATAAAAAAAAATGCAATCCCAAGTGTAGTAAAAATAGAAACTGTTACCTATTTGGTAGCATCACTGCAAAAAACTGATGAAGTCAAATTTTGATAAAAAACAGCAACTCTAACACACAAATTAATGTAAAGGTGGGTCAAAAATAATGGTCTCTTCCAAAATGAAAATATTTAGTATAATTTAGCATAATTCAAATTAAAAGCTTAAACAATTTTAGATAAGAAATAAAAAGACTGAAAGCCTAATACATGTATATCATTGATGGTTTCTTGCCTTAGTCCTTTCACTCCCAGAAGTGTTCACAGTCAAATTTAACAAAAAAATCCAAATAACAAATCATTTTCATAAACTGATGATGTAAAAGTTAGATGCACAAGGCTGTCACTGAAATTGCAAGTTATTAGAGAGTAAATGAAATTAGTGAGTGGGACATTGAAAGGGTGGTAAGTTGTTTATGTTTTAATAAATTATCCTTTCGTTTCCTCTCAAAATAGAAAAGTATTGGGCTCAAAGTAGCCAATTTAAAGTCTGGTTTATGGCCCTTAGTGACAGCCCTGGAACCACTTTACAAGACTAAAGCTTGTAATTAACATGTATTAATCCTGTTTGCTTTGAGAGGACTTTCTGTCACCAACATCCCATACCAGGCTGATCTGCTGAATAAATAGAAAGCAAGTATTATTTGAGTAAACTACACAGATTACTTGTAGGCTAGTGATAATACACTTAATCGGGCACTAAAGGCACAAGTACATGTACAGTAAGGGGGTGTTTACATGAGAAAACTTGCACTGGCGGGAGTCTCATACCGGGATGACTTTTTGATTTTGCGTCGGGTTTACATTATGACTGAGTCATTTCATATCTCGTTATTTGAAGGTACACTCCATGTTGATAAAATACACGTGTGATTCAAAATCGCAAACATTATGCATGCGCTACCTATTCCAGTCCACCGGCAGACTGATTTCACACAGAAACGGGTGGTCTTTTCGCGTTTACATGATACCGCTGCGAGATTTCGTACCAGAGTGAAATTCTTGCCCCGGTACAAGAACCGGGGTAACCTTACTCTGGGGTGACTCACGCCGGCATGACATTTTGTGGTGGTATAATGTAAACAAATATGGAGCCATGAGAGGGAACCGGAGTGAACTCGCTCCGGGGCGAAAGTCGAACCCGGTGTCATGTAAACACCCCCTTAGTTGCCAGAGGACACCGCCTGCTATTACTTAATAATATTTTTTTCTGCACTTATGGCCAAATTACTACAATCAGCACAATTTTACTTGACAAAGGGTTCCCCACATGGCTCTTTTCACAAACCAAGACTAAAAATTTGAAAAACTGATAAGGCATTTTCCACAAGGGAACTAATAACAGAGCAAAACCTGAGCAGCAAATGAGTTCAATGTCTACAAATTCACACAACTGAATAAGATTCATCTGACTATTAAAGATTCAAAATGTTTGACTAGTATGAGTTAAAGGCTTTCCGTAAAAGCAATAATATTGACATTTAGAACCCTACTTGATGTTGAGTGATTAATGGGGAGACTGACTGAAGCATAATATATATATATACGTATGGTTGACGGAAGAAAACAAGTAACTACATAAGTATCCCTACAAGCCTGTTTCGTGGTTGCCCACTCATCAGTGGGCAACCACGAAACAGGCTTGTAGGGATACTTATGTAGTTACTTGTTTTCTTCCGTCAACCATACGTATACTCGCTCTACTTTATGTATTGAGCACTGTTTTACGGATTTCAAGTTCAAACCTCTAATATATATATATGTTAAATTTATTAATAATGGATTATTATATTATTAGAGTTCAATGTTTTACAATGTATATCTTTTTTTTATTTTAATGTATGCATTTTTACAAAAGTATCATCCATTAATATTGTTGTAAAGTGCTGTGAAAAACTACTGGATGTACATTATTTTTATTATTATTAGAGAGTAAGCAGCGTGCAAAGAAAGTAGTGTCCGATAGCCCGGGGCTAGCGAATTTTGCTATCGATCTAGTGAATTTTGAACTTAACTTGCCCAACGGGCAACAACTTGTTTCTTTAAATTTTATTTTCCTTAAAACTTAGATTTACTGATGACACAACTATGGTGCAAATAGAACAACTTCTAGTTTCTAACATGATTGTGTGCTTTGCTTCCCAAAAAGTAAGGCATTCAATTTCCTGACAGTATGTACTGCACTGTATCCTCTCAAGAACCATAATATAATTTCATAAGAGCAGTGCACAGTAAAGATTGGAATGAATGGTAATATATGAAATGAATCATTCTTTGAAGTGCAGATAAAGGTATGAAACTCTGAAGATGTTAACAACTATCTTGGCACTTACATGAAAATACATTCTAATTCAATGATGGTCTGCATTAGCTATGCATTGAAAGACTCATGACAATTGTCTATTCATTCTCTGTTCATTTAATTTAAAACCCTCGTAATTTAAAATCATAAATAAACTTTTGTACCTGCTTCAAAAAATACATGCATGTTGTTAAATTATTCACTACTTATGACCTGGATTGCAGAGAGGTTTTGTTCGCTATGACTGCCTGGGGAATTGGGAAGCTTGGGTTTCTTATTAACTGACGCATGAAAATATAGAACCAGACTAGATTATCTTTGCCTACTGGTAAATTCAACACTTGTTAACACTTTTCTATTCTGTTTATTAGTTCTTCTATAGTCTGTGAAAATTTTCATAAGAATGTTTGTATCACATTACATGTAAGCTTACTTTATACAGATGTTCTTTCTTAATTCCATTTCTTTTAGTAATTCCCAGTACCAGTGACCAAAATGCTATTTTCCAGTACAAAACAAGGAAACTCCACTCCTTCAGACCCCTAAAGTCTTTACATAATTTTACATTATCATCTTCAACGTCATGGTCTCGTTGCTTGTTTAGTATTGAAAGGCTATGCCAAATAAATACACCTGTTTAGTTATAATTTACTTTAAACGGTTAATGCTGGTTTCATTACTCACTGAAATGTTAGTTACTGAATACTTGACACAGTCATTGGAACTCATCATAAACAAGTTTGGAATTAAGCTTAAAACGTTAGAGAAAAGGGGAGCCAGGACAACTTACCTTGCCTTACTTTCTGCTCTTTTCAGTGAAATCTTGAGTGTCGAAGAGCCTTAGTAATACAGTCTTGGTCTGTGTTGTGAACATTCCAGTGTTAATGCTTGCGCTTCACACGATGTTTCTGTCTCCATCTCGTCCCGAAAGGGTTGCTTTACACTTGACAAGTGATCGATTACTAAAGGCTGATAGTGCAATAATAATTTCTAACAACCTTAAGATGTCCTGTGATGCTATCAAGAAGCATAATTATGTATGAACGATCTCCAAACTTCCAAAGAAGCAAGTTTGAAACCGTTTGACACTTTCAAAATGGACGCCAAATCAACGAGCCCGATTGAGCATGTGCAAAGGAACAAGCCCGCTGACCAGCTGTCCCTTCACTGTATTGTTTCCAGGCCCCTTTCTTTCAATAAATTGCCCGTTCCCAAAACTGAAGTCCGCGGACTTAAAATAAGGAAGTGATAAAGGAGATTCAACAATGAAGCCAGTACTCCGTTGAATGTAAAATAGTCAGAGTAATTTGTGAATGCGTTCTTTCACTCTAAGTAATGCGTTCTTTCTCTAAGTAAAACTCGCCGATTTTGCGCGGCGATATTTTTTCTTTATTTTTCCAATTATTTCAATTTGATCAAATTACAGTTGAAACTCTCTACAACGGCCACCTTAGGGACATCGAAGAAAGTGGCCATTGTAGAGAGGTTGAAAGAAGAGTGAATGTATGTCATATATGGACCGTCCGCCAAAAAAAAAAAAAATGGCCCGTGTAGAGAGGTGACCGTTAAGGAAGAGGTGGCCGTTAGTTCCGAGGTTGGACTCAATATAACATGATACTACCTCAATTTTTTCTGGAATTTGGTGAGCTTAAAACTGCAACAAACTGTACTATCAAACACAGTTATACTGTACTGACTGAAATCATTGAGGCAATACTACTGAGTATTGAAGGCTATTGTGTTTGCCGCGACAGATATGCCGTTTTTCGAAAATTGCCGCACAGTCGCAAGTTATATCTTTGCATGAACTCTGCTGGCAGGATTTTCTTTTCAGCGTCATTTTTGAACGGGTACGAAGTCGTTTGCACCGCCAAAAAAAAACGATTTGCGTGGTTCGCTTGTTTACATCGCACACCAACATCGAACACCAAATGTCTTGAGTGATCAAAAAAACTATGCGAACTAGTGTCAGGAAACAAACGACTTACTAAAAACAGTGCCGGGAATAAATTCTTCATTAGGAAGGTAGCATTATATGACAACCTTACTAAACCTTTACATGTAGCGTAAATGAGCGTAAAGCTGTTACAACAACTTTATGCTAGCTTTACGAAAACTTTAAGAGCCGAGCGCGTAAATTTACCTTTACAAACCTTTACGCGCCGTGGAAAGTTTGCGTAAAGTTGGATGACCAACTTTACGCAGGTTTACGCAAACTTTAATTCTGCGTAAATCTCCATTTTCATGCTGTGCAAGATGCTCTTGATACGGTTAAAAATTAATTGCAATGTGTTTCGAAGGTCTCAAACTTAACATAGTTCCAATGATTATCCCTGATTCCAAGGTATAATAAGTTTACTAAGGTCCTGATCCGTGTCCCATCCAGAAGTCCAATCCATGCCGAAAGCGAGTCGTCGATCGACGAGGACGGTATTTTCGCGATTTCACCGCCGACGTCAAGGTTACGAGTTGAAATTTACGCAATTTAACCTCCCATCGTCAAGGTGTTTTCGATAAGAAAAGAAGAAAACTGAACTCTAGCTGTGCTCGGCAAAAACTGGCGAACTCCGAATAGAAAAATCTATCGGAAATCATGGCCCGCAACCAAACGCTACTAAAACCTTATGAAAAAGCTAGACCTAAACAAAAACCCCAAAAAGAATCGTGGCTTAGGTCGCCTTTTGTGACTTGCCAGTATCCCGAAGGATTTCGCTGGTTAACAAGCCATCCTAAACCACAAGTGGAAAAACTCAAGGGCGACAAATTTGATACAGATTTTGTACAATCTGATTGGTCGGCTTGGAAGAAGAGATAATCGATAAAGATTATACGCAATCCTATTGGCTGGCTTTGCAATTTTGGGTACAACCGAACTGGATTTTTACTGTGGGAGTGCCACAGGCATCCCACGGAATTAAGCGTAAGCAGATCTTGGAGGGTATTATCCCGGGGGGGGCACTGCCATATATGGGCTATATAGGTATGTGCCGCTGTGAAGGGTATGGTTTTCAAGCAGTTTACTCTAGGATAGGGTATATAAATCAGAGCGTTTGGGTCTAGAATAGGGTATAATTTTTCAGGAAATTGATCAGTTGGTTGAAGATTTTATCTAGACCAGGGAAACAGCTACTCTAGGATAGGGGAGATTTGGGCAGTTTACTCTAGTATAGGGTAGCAAAATTCAGCTCAACTAGCTCTGGTAAAGGTTAAGGGTTCTAGGGTCCCAGCGGCACACTCCCACCCAAAATTCCTAAAGTACCCCCCCCCCCCCGGGGGTATTATCCACCTCGGCCTTCGGCCACTGTGGATAACACCCTCCTCGATCGCTTAATTCTTTAAATCCAGCTCAGCCTCATTCATTAATTGCCTTAATTGCTAATTAAATCGAATTAATCCAATATGGCCGCCGTATTGCATATTGGTATTAAAAAAGGTCTATTCGTCGTAAACGCTCGAAAACAGAATCCGACTGATCCCGGATGACGTCATTTACATTCCCGATGCGCTTCGACTGATCTGTAGATTGCATCCGCAGCATGGATTCTGCATTGCAAATCATTCGAAAATTTGCAGTCTTCGAAAATCTGTGGATTGCTTTCTTACTCTGCGCTCTTATTTTGCTGTATTGGTAAGTTAAACACATCTAAGCGAAGTATATCATTGCACACCGAGGAGAAGTTCAGTATAGTCGTTGTTTACTTTGCGAGATTAATTGTGCCCATCTTGGCTGCTCTTTGGTCACGATTTCGTCCTTCATTTGGTCTTTCAGACAACAGAGTCAAATCTTGAATGTTACCATTTTAAAGTCGGGGGGCTGCGATTTTTCCATCGCTGTGTGGAACAAGAAAAGGCGCGTTACGGGCCATTTTTATCTTGTACCACTTTATCTTGTACCACTTCCAAATCGCTCCACCCCGTCCGGCCTCTCATGCATATGTAGCCGTAGGTCTGTATAGGAGGCCAATGTTCATAACCAAAGAAATCTGTTTCTATTTGCAAATGTAGTTGTCTGTAGATCAGGTGTAGAGATAGTGTACGAGGTACTACTTGTAAAAAGTAAGCCAAGAGAGCATTTTTGGTGATTCGTCTGATCATGAGGGGCTTTTGGAGAGCGGCTTAATACTGAGCTGATACATTTGAACTTGCTTCATTCAATGCAGCAATGTAGTTTTGACCCGTTTGATTTGTACACATGCTCACAAAAAGATTTTCTGAATTTTACTCAATGCTTGATAATTTTCATTCCCAACTGAGAATGAGATACTGTTTGTCGTGACAAAGATACCCTCCCTTCCCCCGCTAAAGAATGACAGGTTTTCAAATAGGGTGGTTCACATTTTTTCTTCAAAGTAGCCGACAAAATTTTGGCCCTTCAAAACAAATTTATCGAAGTTTCCAACCACGACAAAGAATAAACCCTGCGGATTTCATTTTTCAAAGGGCGCTAACAAAAATCTAAGCGTTCGGATTCCAGATAAGGTTGGGATTTGGAGATAAAAAAGGAATGTACTATGAGAACCCTGGCAAGAGGTATTAAAGATGTCTTAAAAATAACCATCCTGGCCCAGTGTGTTTTTGAAGGCTATTGTGTATAATAAACAATGAGTGTTCTTTTACCATCAAAGTCAAATTAAGACAAATGTGTTGAAAGAGGGAAATTGAGGGTCAGTTGTGGTTGATATTCAGTGGAAGCTCTCTTACTGGAGACCCATAAGCAGACAGCTCTACTTGTGGCTGGCTGCCCTGAGCTGACACCTGAAATGAAAATAATCTTATTCACCTCTGAATCTTGCATTTTGTTACTGCACTTTTCACAGACATGCGAACTCTAAAGTTCAAAAGCTGCCTTCACAGTCATGTTTTTCGCTGCCGTCAATCATAATTATGATCACAAGCAACGAACCTTGAAACACAGAAACACACAAAAGGGATCGAAATCCACCAATCACACATCACAAACCATGACCTTTTGAACCCGTTAAAGTAAAGTTTTGTTTCCTAAGAGGTTCTTTAAGATGATTGACGGCAGTGAAAAACGCAATCGTCAGTTGGCTTTTGAACTTCAGAATTCGCATGTTTGTGAAAAGCGCAGTAATTAAATATTATAAAAACTTTATATTGCTGTTTATCACGATGAATTTATACCAGTTTCAGTGTTTGTTTGTTTTTTTTTTTGGCACATATACACATAAGTTGCCATCTAACCCTTACATCTCTTGTAGTCACCTATGAGAACCATTCTGTAAGCATCCAGCACCAGTAACAGACACCATCCTTAGAGTGTCCTGCGATTATAAGAGCTTTCACTGAACTCAAACATAGTAAATATAATGGACCCCAAGAGACAGAGCTATAAGTATCTACATCTTTACAGCTGCGTGACTGTTTAGTATCACAGAGCTAGGGATTGTGTGATGATTAAGATTTCATGGGACCAGGTCAACTGGGTAGTGCACAAAACACATCAAAAAGCATAGCAGTGTCTTTTCGAGACATTGAATTTTGACTATTACAAGTTCATGCTGATTGTTGGCTGTATCTCTCCCTTTGCCAACCAGGTATGCAGTGGCCCCTTTTTCTTTCTTCAAGAAACTTGGGATACCAGGTCCTGCCCCATGGCCATTTGTGGGAAATGTTCCTGAAATGAGCAAAAAGGTAAAACATGTGAAGTTATGTCACATAATGTTGAAATAAGAGGAAAACGCAATATACATTAGTTATTGTACTATGCTATTAATGTTTCATGCAGTAAACTTCCACTTATAAGCCCTGGGCTTATACAACTTTGTACATCTGTATGGGTTTTTGGAAGGCTTATAAATGGGGGACTTATAACCGGAATACAAAAAAGCATTTCAAAACAAGCTACATAGCAGGGCTGATCAAAATACTTTTTGAATTTACAGTCGACTCTCGATAACTTGAACCTTCAAGGGAAATCGAAAAAAGTTCGAGTTATCAGGAGCTCGAAGAAAATAGCCGGGAGTAAAGAACAGTTTTTACTGCACAGTGAACATTTTAATCACATTTAATTGTGGAAATTTTAAGTGAAAATTGAAAGATACTTCTAGCTTATACAACAGAACAGAACATGGCAAAACATTGCCTAATTATAAATTAATAGAGCAGGCGTTTTACTGTTTTGAGAAGTAAAGCTGTTTGATTTGTGACAAACAACATCAACCTAGACTGGTAAACTATATGCCTACAACGCATCAATGGGAAATTCAAAATTCAATGTTTAGGACGCCAGTACGCTGTTTTTTCCGGACTTTTAAGGGCTCAAAACATGGTTTAGAGTTATCGCAAGTAAAATTATATAGACATTATCTGAGAGGAAACAAAAATTTCTTTGAGTTAGCAGGAGGTTCAAGTTATCGAGGGTTCGTGTTACTGAGGGTATTAAAGATAGACCTTTTTATGGTTTATGACGCCATCTTGGCTGGGGGGCAAACATGGCTAAAATTACAGTAAATGTATGAGATTTTGGCCCACTTGGAACTGCAAAAAAACTATTAGAAAGAGGTTGATTTCCAACATTTGCCACTACTTAAAATATTTTTATTGACATCATTCATTCAACAAAAAAATAAGGCTATTAAAGAAGGTACAATGTCTGTAAATTCAAAATATAAATCTTCTTATGTGGCTTCTAATTTCATGGTAGTTTGCATAATGTTGATTAGAACGGTTTGTATGAAATCTTAACAATTCGTTTATGGTCGTTATAACCTTTATACTTCATGAAAATAATCTCAGTAGAAATTTATTTTAAAATACATTTTCACTGTGGAAATCCGCCTCTTTGTAGCGACGTTATAGCGGTTCAAAGTGGGACAAAATCTCATACATTCACTGTAATTTTAGCCGTGTTTGCCTCCCAGCCAAGATGGTGTCATAAACTGGGAAAAGATCTATTACAGTAAATGTATGATGGAAATCCAGGGGAAATCGATTTTGGTTCGAGTTAGAGCGAGGTTCAAATTAGCGAGGGTTCGAGTTATTAGGAGTCAACTGTTCTTGCTTTTTAAGCCTCAAACCATTTTTATTCTCTACAGGTAGATATTGGCCTATAACTTGAGGGGAGGCTTATATTGGGGGGGGTATAAATGGAAGTTTATGGTATACCAGCTTTGTCATTAGAAAGTGCATAAAAGCTGCTGCTGAGTCTATACCGGTAATTTAAATTTACCACTAAAATCACTGTTATAGCAACCCTAACAAAATGATTCTTGCAACCATACAAAGCACCCTGTTTGGTCATGAGACTTTTTGTTTAAAACAGCTTACAATGTAAATGTAAGTGATTTGACTGGATGCATTCAATCGATGTGATCCAGGTGAGAATCAGTTATCTGAGCTCACTCAGAATGGTATCATATGAACCAATGAATCCTATCTCAGGGTGGATTCGTCAAATCCTTTTATGTGCTATGACCTGAGTGATCTTGTATTGCTGATCCAGATCATCCCAATGTAGCACATCCAGTGTTCTTTGCTCAGGCAGCCTGCTTATTTACAAGTACAATAGTTTCTATATATATATACAAACATAATTATGTACTAGATGAGTAGTAATGAAGTAATTTTTTACGTTATATTTAACTTAACACTTATTTGTCATCTCTTATCTTGGTGCGAGTTCCAAAGCTGCCTACTATTTATTATCAGCCTGCTACTTGAAACCTTTTTGACAGCCCTGCTTAAGCAATAATAGAACTGACATTCTTTGTTTTTTGTTGACTAATAATGATAATAAATTGTTGAAATATTGGTTGTTTCAGCCTAAACAGCTGTTTGACAAAGAGGTTACTGAAAAATATGGAAGAGTATGTGGGTAAGGATAATAAGAGTATGTGATCATAACTTCTGTTCATTATTTTTTTGTACATTTATTGGGCAGAGTACCAGTTCTTGTGGTTGAAATTAGGCCTATTATCCAGTATACCCCACTTAATCAGTTATCATTTTAGTGTGCCTTATGCAACCTTTGGTAACTGTGCAACACCTTACACCTGTGTATAATTAACAGAAAAACTCAAGGCGTGATGGTGTTTGGACCTGATGGCTAACCATAGTGTAAATTGGCTCGACAATAATTTTGAAATTTGGTCAGACAATGTCCAATGACCAACTCTAGCCTATTCCCAACATTATACAGTGTAAGTTATAAGTTAATTTATGCCACATGTTGAAGATAGCAGTGATTTTGTACATAAACTTTTATCTACAGGTATTATTTAGGACGCAGTCCTGCATACCTTATATCTGATCTAGATCTCCTGAAACAGATTACAGTGAAAGAATTCAGCAAATTTACCAACAGACCACTTGGAGTAAGTAGTAATGGATATTTGTCATTATTAATTGTACAGGATGTGAGGGGCTGCCAAAACTACAAAAGAGTTGGTTGTTGTCGTTGTCATGGGTCATTTTCTGGTGATTGTGTTGATCATTGTGGGTCATTGTGGGTAGTTTTGGCTAGTTCCTTGTTTTAGTAACTGCGACAAAATTGCAGCATTACCATTCGCTGATAATGCCTCATGATTATGTTGAAATTACAACATTGCTATGGCAACATTGCATTTATCTGAGTCCCAAGATGGTGTCCAGATTTAAGTATTTAGGTTGGGGACAATCATGTAGTGTGGTCTGAAGCCAACTACTACTACTCTTGACATATGCATTTAGCTAAAAAGGTAACATTTAAATGTATTATTCAACCCATAAACTTGTGAGAAATAAATTACACATAAAATTACTTTCATCGGCCTTATAGTGCAATAACCCACACTACAGCAAACCTTATCAAGACACAATAACAAAAATATATCTAAGGGAACTGCGAAGAAAACTAAAACAAATTCTCTTTGGATAATTTGTACTAAATTATACAATGTGATCGAAATTCTTGAATTTTATATCATTGATATTTGATTCCGTATTCTGTATTCTCTTTCCATTTCCGTGCTTCCATTTCCATCTCCAGATTCCAGAGTTTATGTTTTAGTGCTGCCCATTAAATCACTAGGTTCTTATATGCGGGTTTTTACTGTATTCTACAGTGAACTCTCTCACAGTGACCACTTCTCATAAGCAACCAACTTAGGGACCACTTATCTGTTTCAAAAACTCTCTCCTAAGCGACCACCACTAAAAATTTCTTATAAAACGACCATGATGACTTTTAAATTAAGCCAGAAATTTGGCATAAATATTCTTTAGTTTTCTGTTGCATTTAAGCAACCATCAGTTAGAAATACTCGAATGAGACGAAAGTTCAGTTTTTAATAGCACTACACCAATCAGTGCTAACAAATTACCAATACAGCAGTTGATGTTACAGGGCTCAAAATAACAGCCAGTCAACAGACAATGTCCGGCCTGATCGTGGACTTGACGGGTCAAACTCTCGTCTTGCCGGTCATTTTGACCAGTCATTTTTGGATGCGAACATTTTATAATATTTTCCATATAGTTGTCGCTTAAAGCGTTTTTCTCTATGTCCGGCCTGATGGTGGACTTGACTGGTCAAACTCTTGTCTTGCCGGTCATTTTTACCAGTCATTTTTGGATGCGAACGTTTTATAATATTTTCTATATAGTTGTCGCTTAATGCGTTATGCTCTATAACACTGTACTGATTTATTTTTCTTTGGCTTTTTTTTTGCTGCTTTGCACAAAAACCTTTAAAGAAGAAGAACACCGCAATAAATTTCATGTCGTCATGTCGTAATGAAAGGCAACAAAGTGAAACAACAACAAACTGAGTTGTGGAGTAATGCAACGATGCAGCAGGTCGCACTGGGTGTGATAAGTAATATGACCTTCTTTGGGAAAACATGCAGTAACAATAATCTGCTATCCATTAGAAAACTAAAGGACAGCTAACAGTTTTTGTCCATCTAACATTTCAAATCTAATGTAAGAGGATTGTGAAAATCACCTTCGACGGAATTTGGGCAAATCGATCGCAATTCTCAACAGGTCGCCCTGTACTGTTTCTCCGGAAATAAATTTTAGCGCATCGATTAATTATAATAATTTCTTTATGTCGAACATGAATCTCGTTTGCGGACTTGATTCCAGAATTGTCTAATAAAAATATAAGCTAATTGAGAACAAACGTTGCCTATCTCGGCGCTTAAAATCCTCCTTCTTGTTTGTTAATGAGCCGTTTGCTATAAAGTGTTGCGCGACAACCCAAACGAAAGCTTTGCTGTATATTTATTGACTTCTGATGATAAATATGCTGTTTGTGGCACAGATTTCTTTCCAAATCAACTTCTCTGCCGGAAAAATTCTTTGTGGAGGAGACCTTTCGATCACGTGCCGGGCAACGAAAAGATCAAGTTTCATCGATATGCAGATATGGGACGAACCTTGCAGACTTCAGACACCACCGTATGATGATACTCAAGGTGATGTAAACAGACGTGAAAACGGGCAAAAACTGCGGAAAGGAACTCAAAAACTTGTGAATGAATTTTTCACCAACTTGCCGCCAAAAACCTGAACGTCAATACAGTAGAACGATCTGTTGCCAGAGTTGACTGAAGCTAATTAAATAACTTAAAGTTTCATTACTTTTTTGACAGTGTCAATTTTTTTTGCAGCCCTTAAGTGCGTCAACTGGTGTTCAGTCTAAAGTGTTACTACAGGCACAGGATGAGGACTGGAAGAGAATTCGTGGAACAATAACTCCAACATTCAGTGCACATAAGCTGAAGCAGGTTTGTTTAATCATTGAAGCCCCAATATGCACATACAAATTCTTTAATTATGAACCGATTCATACATTTCCTTAAAAAATTACCTGGAAGAATTTGATAACAGGTCAAAGCATTTTCCTGTAGATGATTATTGTTATAATTCTCATAATCTTTTCTCTTGACTATGTATTGAAGGGAAAAAATATCAGTGATGTTGCAATTGATCACTCTTTTGGACCTAAAGTGTGAAACAAATATTTAGGATTGCTCATCTTACATTACCTTGCCTGATGGTTTTTACTTTTTAAAGGCCTCACTGGTATTGCTAAAATTAATCTAAAATAAATCAAACCTCTTTAAAGAGACACCTAAGGGACAGAACCAAGTGTCCACTTTACATTGGTGTCCGTATTATCGAGGTAGCTGGGAATGTATGATTTTTGGTATTTCTGGGACCAAACGAACTTTCCGTAATATAGAGAGGTGTCCATATGGAGAGGCTAGACTGTACACTCTACTTCTCAAATCCTTTAATAAATAATCTTCAAGGCTTTAGGGGTTATCATCGATAAGTATCAAACTACCCTGCGGAGATGAGACTCGCACTCAATGGCTGAATGGTGCCACCATATGTCCTTTGTTAATTTAATCCATTTATTATCCTTATAGTTAGTGTAGGTTGTGTGTGTGCACACTACTTAAATATATGTGCCCACTTTACTTATTTAATAGAGCTGTACTTTTAGTTCGTTATTTAACACATAATTTTACAATTTCCTTGGGTTGTTTTCCCACTCCTATAACTTTTCAGTAACTGTGCTCACATTGTGGGTGGCTCCCCCTAACATGTTCTACAATTGGTATAGGATATGGAGCTAAAAGCAATAGTATTTGTGGAATTGCGCATATTTTAGGTATCCTACAGGGCCGAGTTGTTCAAAGCCGGGTTAAGATAACCCAGGGTTAGTGCGAGATTTGAATTCAGATTTGAAACCTTAAAAAGCATTTCAGTTTTAATTCTTTTTGTCTACAAGTTGATGATTGAAAGCTCTAAATATAACAGAGAAGATTATCCGAGAAAATGCCTTTGAACACAGGAAAGAGAAACCCGGGTTAAGCGCTAATCGGCCTTCGAACAACTGGGCCCAGATGATCAGTTAACACTTTTAGATATATCAAGCAACAAAAATTTGCCCTGTGTCCTCCTTGAATTTTATAAAGCAATTTTACTGTCACGCCAGTAAAATGTAGTTAATGGAACGTGACGCTAGTTATCAGTAACCCATTCATGGCGGCTCTTTTTCAACAAAGCAAGTGTAGTCAAGCTGCCAAGGTCAGCGAACTCTAAGATGCATTGTCTTCTAGCGTAGAACTTTACGGCCTTGTTGTCTTAAGCAGGCTAGTACGAGCCACAGCATTGGCCAATATTTTCAAAGCACTATTCATGGTTAAGAGTTTGCACATGCAACGCTGAGCTGTCTTGTAGTACAGCCTTTGCTACTGGCTATGCCAGCAGACATGCGTCTAGCTATAAAAGCCTAGAACAACTGTTCAGAGTTCACTTGGGTTCCAGTGTTCAGCAAGGTTTAAGCGCTCAGTATACTATTCTTGTAAAATTTTTCCCTCCCTCTCTCCCTTTGGAGACGAGTTTTGGGCTTTGTTTTGTGCTATGCCTTCAAATAAACTAGGGACACTCCTCGCAGTGCGGTTAAGTTTGCGCAGCGACTTCCCCCAAGCTTGTTGAGCCGCATTGCCGTTTAATATCGCCTGCACACCGATACTCTTGTCCGATCCAGCACGTGCTGTATTCGGCAGGACTTTTCCGCGGGTGGCGGGTGACGGGTGAGGGGTAGCGGGTGACGGGTGACGGGTGACGGGTGGCGGGTTAAAAATATATATGAAAATAAAATATTATAACAAAATATTATTATTGATAATGATATAACTGTATGTTGTAATTTTGACATTATTTCAACGTTTACGTACTAGTTACCAGACTCCAAATAAAAGTATTGTCTTGTTTTGTTTTATCTACTTTAATACGCGGACTAAAAATGGAAAAAAAACGAGAAATCATGCCTGTGAAAGATGATTGCACTTCCCCAACTGTTTAGCCGTGTTTATAACAGACTGCAAGAGATTCGGCCTCCCGTGTCGTAGCTCAGTTTTTGCCCTAGTATGCGGCATGATTGCCATCCTAATTTTTTTTTTTGAGTAGTATTTAAAAAATGCAGATCCTTTTTGTATATATGTAGAAGGAGATCAATTCGCGTCTGAGCCCCCACATGCGGCGAAAACGGTCCATGCTGTGTCCAAAACGTTCTTGCTCCTTCTCTGGTACGCATTAACATTGACAGCTTTGTTGCTTTAGCCTTAGGAAAATTTCCTTGTTTTCTCGAAATAGACACTTTGTTCATTTTAAACTACAAGTCGGAAACCAAATTGACAAAGATTTACAAACGCACTTGTCAAAAATCTGAGACACTGTTCAAATATGTCGAGAAGAGAATGCGATCTTACTTGTCTGGTCGGAGGATAAATATTACTTTAATTTTTATGAGTTCCTCAAGCTATCTCGTCCATGCGATATCGGGTAGAATAATAGAATCTCTTGCAGTCTGTTATAAACACGGCTAAACAGTTGGGGAAGTGCAATCATCTTTCGTCTTAAAGTGGAAGAAAAAGCAAACTAGACAAACAAGATCGACACGTGTCATGTGTCTTGCTTGACATAGCCCATTTTCATTTGACACACCGCGTGTAGCCTGACGAAACGTCACTTGCGGTGCGGAGCAAGGAGAGGTGACTGTTTTCACAGGCATGATTTCTTTTTAGTCCGCGTAAGTAGATAAAACAAAACAAGACATTACTTTTATTTGGAGTCTGGTAGCTAGTACATAAACGTTGAAATTATTTTAAAATTACGACATACAGTTATATCATTATCAATAATAATATTTTATTTTCATATATATTTTAAACAGCCACCCGCCACCCGCCACCCGTCACCCGTCACCCGCTACCCCTCACCCGCCACCCGCTATCCGCCACCCGCCACCCGCTACCCGTCACCCGTCAACCGCCACCCGCCACCCGCCACCCGCGGAAAAGTCCTGCCGTGCTGTATTGCATTCAGCTCGTAGTGCTGGGGAGATAAGTGAGGTTCTTTGCCCATGCCATCGCCGGAAGTCGCAAAGGCTAACCTAGCGCAAGGCAGTGCTCCCCCATTATCGCCAACTTTTCATTATTTGTTTTATAATTAAGTCACTTCGCGTTTAGCATGCATCATAAAGGAGCAGAGACATTAAATGCAAATTTATTTCTTAAATAATCAAGAATTTCGCAAAATAAAAATTACACAGGTCTAAACCTGTTCTATCAAGCAAGAGCTGAGCTTTCAGAAAATTGATATCCAAGGTGTCAATTTATATCACAGTCTCAAAAATTCAAGAATTACATATTTCCGGCTTTATGTCAATAGCTAGGAATGAAAAAAAATTGAACTGACTTATACTTCGATTGTTCATTTGCCTTTAAATCCCCAGCAGTATCCAGTAAATTTTTCCTGAGATTTAAAGGTGGAATTTTTTTGTAATGCCCTGTAACTTCAGGCCACCACCAAAAATTCCAAAATATTCTGGGAATTGCCAGGAATTTGATACATTTTAATTACCTTAACATTATGTTAGTAAACCTGGCAAGTTTCAGTGCGGTATTATAAATCCTCACCTTTTCACATCGATTTGTTTTCAGTCATGGGTCCAAAAAATTGCCCTTAATTTAATCTGCCCCTAATTTTTGTCATTCTGCAGCGCTGTTTTGTTTGTCACCATCTTGAATTCTTACGAGTAAGCCGCTGGTCTTGATGTTTGTTGTGACACTTACCCAATTGTAGCACGGAACGCGGCAAGAAAATGTGAAAATCTTTGTTTGAACTCGTTTCATGACATCCTCTCAATATGGCGTCGTAAACAAGGTTTTAGCCTTAAAGCAACGTGTTAAGTTGCATAATACGTCATTTAACTGCGGCCTTATCTGTCATCGACCTTGCAAGGATCATACCTAATGTGTCTCAAGAAGACTTTTTACAGCCTTGAAAATGATTTAGAAATATCAAAACAATCATACTTTATTTGGGGAAGCACAGTGTAAGTGAATTCTGCCATAGTTTGCCCTAGCTTACTTGAAACTCGTGATGCATTATTGCGTGTCAGGTTGTGAAAATTGCAACATTTCTGTCAACAATGAATAGTATCCCATCGGATTTCAGGCCTGTGATTATTAATATTTCCAAAATAGCGCTCTTAGATACCAACTTTAGCCTTCGTTTTCTCAGCTTCTTTTTGACGAAAATGCTTCATTTTTGGAATTTGAGTTCAGGTTAAGAGTATGCTTCAAATAAGTAATTTTATAAGTGTGATCATTTTTTGACTTTATAGTAGTTCTAATACCTTAAGCACGGTGCCCACTAATGGGAAGTATTTTTTCCCAGATAATGACTATGTGAGACAAGTAGATCAGATCAGCGGCTATTAAAATCCAAAAACAAAACTGGGGGTAACCGCGCATTTTAAAGAGATAACTGCGCTTCGATATGGAGAAAAATGCTGAATAGGCATTATTTTTTTAGAAAAATGATAAAAAGTTATTTTTTCCCCAAATTTCAGATTGTACACTTAAACTGGCACAAATGCAATGATAATTGCAACAAGGTTTCAAAATAAGCAACAAATGATAACATAACAACTGCTCTTTATACGCCTTTTTTTGAAATATCAGCACAACTGGGAAGTTATTAGCAGTTACCCCTCTCCACGCGTTTTCCTTAAAAATAGTGCAAACGACATTTTCCCCGAACCAAAAATTGACCGTTTGCTGAGTAGGCTTATTACTTTCATTTGGTAAGATAAAAACTAGGGGTTACCATGCGTTTTTAGAAGTTAAATTGGTTGGTTTCGACCTTAACTTAATCTCTTTGGGGGTTATTTACAATTTTTCCCATCCCCTCCATGGTCAGTTTCACTATTGCTTCACTCAATATGGAGTACTCTGGGATATCCACAATGGCTGACAGTCAGAGAACAACAACTCACGGAAGAGAGCAAAAACAGAAAGTGGAGCAGGACATTTCATGGACTATAAGGAAAACAAATTATACTATTTCATTCAACTGGAGCTTCTCCGTCTCAAAAATTTAACAAAAATTTTTGGAGAAGAGCAATCCAAGGTATTAAGGACGGTGCCCACTAATGGGAAGTATTTTTTCCCAGATAATGCTGACTATGTGAGACAATTAAGTAGATCATATCAGCGGCTATTGAAATCCAAAAAGAAAACTGGGGGTAACCACGCATTTTTCAGAGATAACTGCACTTCAATATGGAGAAAAACGCTGAATAGGCGTTTTTTAGAAAAAGGATAAAAAGTTATTTTTTCCCCAAATTTCAGAGTGTGCACGTGAACTCGCGCAAATGCAATGATAATTGTAACAAGGTTTCAAAATAGGCAACAAATGATAACATAACAACCGCTCTTTATACTTCTTTTTTTGAAATCTCAGCACAACTGGGAGGTTATCAGCAGTTACCCTTCTCCACGCGTTTGCCTCAAAAATGGTGTAAACGACATTTTCCCCGAACCAAAAATTGATTGTTTGCTGAGTAGGCTTATTACTTTCATTTGATAAGATAAAAAGTAGGGGTTACCACGCGTTTTTAGAAGTTGAATTGGTTGGTTTCGACCTTAACTTAATCGCTTTGGGGGTTATTTACAATTTTCCCCACCCCCTCCCCGGTCAGTTTCACTATTGCTTCACTCAACGCGGAGTACTCTGGGATATCCACAATGGCTAACAGTCAGAGAAAACAACAACACACGGAAGAGAGCAAAAACAGAAGGTGAAGCAGGACATTTCATGTATCCTAAGGAAAACAAATTATACTATTTCATTAAACTGGAGCTTCTCCGTCTCAAACATTTAACAAAAATTTTTGGAGAAGAGCAATCTCCAAGGTATTAGAGATTACTTGCAGCGCACATAGAGTAGTGTGGCGAGCTGAAGATCTAAGGCTGGCGCGGTAAACAAACCACTGAACTGTAGTGGAAAATAGTCGACAGGGACTCTTAGACAGGTACTCCTTCAATCATTTGTTTACCTGTACATGTCCCAAAGATTTTTTTAACTGTAGATGTAATATGGATTGTAAACCTTCTATCGTTTTTTATCATTTTACCGGGTACCTCAACCGAATGTGTTATTCAACTTGCATGCATTCAGTGAGCTTATATCTATGCTTTGCGCTATCTCTTACAGGCTTTGCCACAAGTTTCATGTGACATAAATTTGCATATATAGTCTCAAGTTCCATACATGATCATGAGCTCTCTTTTAAAAAAGCTGAATACTGCGAAAGTAGTTGTACCGAATGCATTTATGTACCCTCATATATAAACTGGGCTATAAATGATAATTTTATATATTTCGTTTTGATTTTTTTACTGTAGCATTCCGTGTCATGTTCATTCACTATTTTTCGCTCCTAAATGTTAATTTTAGACTTTACAGTGTCTGTTAAACGTAAGAAAGTCTTAGAATGGAAATACTTTATTCAACTTCCATCTTTAGTTGGTAAACAGCAAAATGGCAGCTATGTCTAAATGTCCAGATTATGTGTGGCGTGAAATTGAACCTTAAGAAATACTATCTACGCAACAAACTACCCAGTGAGTCAATAATTTTAATGCTTAGTACTGCCAAAATAATAACAATGATAATAGTAAAAAGCATAACAATTTTTTACGATTTTTCCACGATGAAAGCGTTTCCTTTGCGGTCCGCAACTATTTGTGAAGCTGCGATCTCAGCAATCCAAGCAATCTTCTGATAGTTTTTTCTTGTTTGTTCGACAAATAAAAGCCTAATGGACTCTTAATAAAAGGGTCATCTGTATGTAGTCAAATGCTTTAAGTCTATCTTCTGGAGAATAATTACATAAAATCTTACAAAATTAAAGAAATATTTGGGAAAGTGTTCATAGCCGATTAGCCGATAAAACGCGAAGGACGCGAGTGAAAGGTAAGCTTGCAGTTTCTCGATTAAGCGGAGGACTTAGAGCTATTTTCCTTCTGATTTACTGATCCTTGCCTATTAAGGGATTGTTTAATACCCAAGCTCCAAGTGTAACATCTCGAAGCAATAACTTTTGATGTTTTAGAATTGACTTTTGTTTGACTCTAAAATGTTTGTTCAGATCGACCATACGGCAGAAATAGCAACATGCGCATACTTCTTCGGTTTTCAAAGAAGTGACAAGGTAAAGACAAATTATTTTTCATCTGTTGAAAAACGACGCATCTTTTTCACAAGAAATAACTAGAACCTCCCAGACTTTAGTAGAGGAGACAAAACCAGTTCGCGTGTCCTGCGTGTTGTGCATTTAATTCTTTCGCGTTGCGCACGACTATCTTAACATGCGCAGAAACTGTGTGCAGTAACAATAGTGGGCACCATCCTTAAATAAGTTGGTCTTGTGATCTCTCTACATGTAGCTGTCAAAGATCATAGCTGGTTTTGTTTATATTTTCGTTAGGTTGCACCTTTAGTAAACAAGTCATGTGAAACCTTGTGCAAAAAGCTTGAAAAAATTGTTGAGTCTGGAGACAAAGCTAATATGTGGAGGTAATTTTAAAGTGCACAAATTTATTTATTTTCAGCTCTTAAAATTGCACTAGCCTACAACCAGTTAGTCATGGGATGCAGGCTCAATATGATATTGGCCGTTTTTATGCGTTTTAAGGTGGCTCCGTGATTAATACAAGAGCATTTAGCTGTGACAAAGTTTCCGTCATAACTTTTTCGATTTTAACGCGATGGCTGCGAAACTTTGCAAAGAACAACAGATATCATTCGGCAATAATACGAAATATTCCGATTTCATTGATGGTAAATATTTCTTGAGAAATTAGCACTTAAAAGGACCCTAATGTTCAAAGAAAATCGCGTCTAGTAAAAAATTTTGCTGATATGTTTTACTGAAATTTCTGGTATCGGCTTTAATTGATATAATAAATATGCCAGACGAATTTCAGAAAAATCGTTGGAGCAGAAGTCCGTAACTAAAAGTCGCTCAAAATTCAGCTGTGAAATTGTTTTGGAATTTCAAAAATAAATTACTATCAGGTAGAAGGAGACACAGGTTTGAATTTTCTGGACAAGTAAATTCAGTGTTTGCTAATTCTGAAAACAAAAGCCGATTGCCTATCGTGCTATTCTTTAAAAGGTACTTTTTAGTTTTAGAAGCACTATAAATTGCTCCAAACCTTGCTCTGAAGTAGAATTACTTGTTTTTCGACAGTTTTAAAACATCCCTTGGCAGTTTTGGCTCAAACTCCTGCTGCATACATTTTGATGTATTACAATGCATTTTTAACGACTTTTACAGCTGTTCGTTGCTTCCAACTCAGGAAAAAAGTATTGAGATTGGACGCTACCTCCTATCAGAGCTCAGATGGATAGCAGGAGTTTGAACCAAAACTACCAAGGGATATTTTAAAAATGTCGAGGAACAAGTCATTCGACGTCAGAGCAAAGCTTGGAGCAATTTATAGTGCTTCTAAAACTGAAAACTATCTTTTAAAGAATAGCACGATAGGCAATCGGTTTCTGTTTTCAGAATTAGCAAACACTGAATTTACTTGTCCCGAAAATTCAAACCTGTGTCTCCTTCTTCCTGATAGTAATTTATTTTTGAAATTCCGAAAACAATTTCACAGCTGAATTTTGAGCGACTTTTAGTTACAGACTTCTGCTCCAACGATTTTTCTGTAATTCGTCTGGCATATTTATTATATCAATTAAAGCCGATACCAGAAATTTCAGTAAAACATATCAGCAAAATTTTTTATTAGACGCGATTTTCTTTGAACATTAGGGTCCTTTTAAGCGCTAATTTCTCAAGAAATATTTATCATCAATGAAATCAAAATATTTCGTATTATTGCCGAATGATATCTGTTGTTCTTTGCAAAGTTTCGCAGCCATCGCGTTAAAATCGAAAAAGTTATGACAGAAAATTTGTCACAGCTAAATGCTCTTGTATTAATTACGGAGCCACCTTACGTCGTTAAGATGTATTACATCTGAGACATTAGTGAACTTTTACGCAACAGGACGGGAGAGGAAAGAAGACGGCAAACGTTGTGTGACAAACGGGACAATATTTTGTTTGAAAAATTTTCCGCCAAGCTATCTTTTTGTAAAAGACCAGAAAACATTAGTGTTAAGTGAAGATATCGACAAATCGGCAATTATTTATAGGCCTATCAGGTTTGTCACACAGAAGCGTTTTGCCGTCCTCTTCTCCCTGCCATCCTATTGCGTAATGTGTAGTTCCTGGAAATATCCATACTCCCCCCACAGAAGGGATTGGAAATTCCTGGGGGGTGGGGTTTCTCAAAGGCCCAAAAATTTAAGTAAATGTATGATGCTTGACTGGAATTTCCAGAGAGGTGGGGGGTCTAAGAAAAAATCCCTTCCATGGGGGAGGTATGGATAATTTTTGGAACCACACAATCTCTCTATTAAAGTCATCAAGATACATTAAAGGTCTGAGACATTGAAGTCAGCTGGTCTAAAAATGGGACACAAAGTAGATAACAACAATGGAACACACGCAAAAAACAGGTTTTTCTGAAAAAAGTCAAAACACTGAATCTTCCCAGTCATTTCTGGAGGAGTTGGGCATAAAATGCGTCACGTTTTATACTAGATGCATTTAAGGTGATTCCCTAGTTTTGCACTGCGCATCTCTTACTGCGCATAACAAGATGGCCGCCGTAAACAACAGCATGTGAAGTAATATTATTAAAATGAAGTTGACTCAAGAGAAACGCTATTGGAATTTTTGCTTGCTGTTGTTTCTTGCCAAGGAGAGACTCAATGTGTTGGGAATGTGCATAACGTAAGCAGTACGCGTGTTGCTGAGTTCGACTTCCTCTCGGAGAACCTCGATAGTGGATGTTTAACTTGTTCTTACTCACTTTGATTTTCATTTAAACACTTTCTTTATCACATTGTATCCTAAATGAGATATCTCGATGTAAATTCTGTAAAAACGGATTTTTTAATACTTTCTTCCCCCTTTCACATACATTCTATTTTGAAACTCGCCCCAGTCCTCTCTCAAAAATCGGAGAAAATGCGTTTGGTGCGCACTTTCTGCAGCTCTACCGCAAAAACGAGTACGGTGACCCCCATTTTTTATTTCATGATTTTAATAAGGACAGTGCTTCCTTTCGATGAGAAAAAAATTGGCACAAATCTGTGTTCAGTTTTTTGGCAATTTTACTAAATTGTACGGATTGAAAAGCGCGCGCCCAATTTAATTCTACTTTGGAGCGAAACGTAAAAACAAGGGCATTAAAAGGCATTTTTCTGGTACGTGAGTGGATAAACAATACATTAAAGTCAAATTCTGTGTGATGCCACATGCATCATCGAAAAAATCTTTCCTTTTTGTCTAGTTTTGGGCTGCCCGCGGTTTTTGTAAAAGGGTCATAAATAGCCGTATTTGTCAGCATTGTGACGTCAAAACGAGTACGGTGACCCCCACTTTTTATTACTTTTTTATCATCTTCTTGACTTGTTACATCAGTGTACCAAGTTTTAGCTACAATGTATGTTAGGTTCTTTTACTATGGAATCACCTTAACATCTGAGTCATTCATGTTCTCTGTTGAATGCATCGTTCAGATTGGTAAATGCGTCTATTCAATTTACCATTTATATATATTACTCCTGTTAAAGTTGTCCAAAGACGACTTTAACATTTCACTCAACTTCAAAGTTTTTAGCATAAAAATGGCCATTATATTGTCTACAATGGTAGTCCCAAGACATGCTGAACTTCATATCCATTAAAGTAGCAGTCTTCCCGCCGTTAAAAAGGAGCCGAAGAAGGTACGTAATTTGTGTAGATACATGTAGTTTTTGATAAAATACTGAGCTGAGTGAAGTAGTTTATCAGGTAGAATTTGATTTCTTGACTTGTCTTTATAAGGGTTTATGGCAAGTTTACCATGGAAGTGATATTGTCAACAGCATTTGGTGTCCAACGTGATGTACAAACGGATCAGGATGAACCATACACTCCAAATGCAGCACTGCTGTTCAGACAGCCTGCAGTTTCTATTAGTCTGAGTAAGTACAGTAATGACAGCAGGTGCTGTGCTGTGCTTACCGATTACTCTGACTCTCATGTCTCGCCCCATGTAAGGGAATCCGGATTCCGGAATCCAGGAATTTTTTGCTTGTGGAATCCGGAATCCTGGCTTTGGAATCCGGAATCCCGCTAAAGATTGGAATCCGGAATCCAACTTACTAAAGGTCCACTCCAGATTAAATTGAGGTACTCGCTCATAAGAAAGACCATCCGTGGGGGAGAAATGAATGCGTGACGAACGAGCCCCAAAAGACGTCTGCGGGGAGGCTAGTCTATGGACAGCCTCCCGAGGGTATAGACCTGAACGTGACGACATAATATCGGCATATCTGGTTTCAAAACACTAGTTCGCGAGCTCCATATGAAAGGTGGAGGTCACGGCCCCGGTCACGGCCACATGATTAAAATTCTATAATAGCGAGGGAACCCTTGCTTATGAGCGGCTGGGAGGATCACAAAATTGGGGGGTTTTCAAGGGAACATAGCGCAGCCTTTTTAAGATTCAAATTGAATTGTTATGAATAACTTCGACCTCTGGCTATGTTTGATTTTATGCGAGCTTTTTTACTTGGCATAGGACTGGAAAAGGTGCACCTGGGGTGAACCTTTTCTTGAACCTTCCTGGTCCTCCTGGTTCACAAATGAAAGTAAACGTTTACGTTCAACAGTTTACCTAAAAGGAAAAAAAAAAGAAATTCACAGTCTCCTAGTGCCTAATTTGGTCCAAGTAGTTTCGCTGAGAACAGTTTCATGGTTTCGATAATCTTTATTTGAGAAATAAGCCAGGAACTGTCACTAAAGTAATCGCGTACAAGGACGCGGTGGGTGCCTTTTTCATTCATCCCCCGGCATTCGAGTGAAATCTCGCCACCTCTTCGATCAGACCAGTTTGAAGTTTGTTGTTTGTTGGATTTTTCTTTTCTACTGTAATTGGAAAGCACAAGCAAAAACAAAAGGCTGAGAGACAAAGGTACCTGTAATACTGCGTTGTGAAATTTTATACCAATTTTTAGCTGACTGCGATAGATCTAAACGTGCCAAAGGCAAAGATGATTTTTCGTTTGTGTCTCAGTAATTGAATGTAATATAAATTTTACGTCGTCCCTGGGGAAAATATCGTATACATTGTTAACCGCTTAAAATGAGCCAACGTGTCAGAACCCGCAAGTCTCTCTCGATCTCTGAGTCATCTCACACTCGATCGAGGATCAGACGGACTTTCCATGTTTGGTTCTACAGTTGTGATTAGGCCTCGTTCGTATTGAGGTCGCTTTTGGAAATTAGACCGATCTGAGATCGGTTTAGCCCGTATTTTTTTATTTGAAATGAATCCTGGAGCCACCTAGAACGCGCTAATGTGAAATAAAGCTCGCGGGGGATTTCATAATCTCACACTCAGATCTACTTATTACTTATTGATGAAGCCAAAGGTGAGATCTGGTCAAATCCGATTTTGTACCCGTGATTGCCTCTCAGGAATGTGACAGGCCATGAAAGAGCATATGCTTGAAATTAATCCTAAATTTTTGACGTGTTAAACAACGAATTTGATAGAGCCGTGAAGTTTTTTCTATCCAAACGTGGTTATGCGCGCATCTTAAGTATGAACCAACAAATTTGTGTGTTCTTTTTTATATTTTTAACATCGAATTCAACGCGACAACCGGGGCCAGATCTCACCTTTGGCGTCGTCAACAAGAGATCTGGGTACGAGATTAGGGATTTCATTGACCTCTAGGGCGAGGGGGGAGGGGGTGGTTTGCTCTCGCATGCTGTCCAGCAAGGATGCTTGCGTAGCGTAAGTCAATAAAAAACAAACAAGTTCAGCTGTACAGTTTTGACTGAACGCGGGCAAATCAGGCTATCTTTGACTACGTTTTGAGCCGTGTGATTTAAATGGTTCAGCAACGACGAGACCAAGTAACTGATAGTTTTGGGCTTGCAGACTGTCAAGAGTTACTGACTTTTTATCTTTATTTTGACCAGTCAAAAACGTCAAGACGTGACAGCGTAAAAATTTATTTAGTGGATCAACGTGGTCCGGCCACTATCCGAAATTTATTTTGAGCTATGTTATCATTCTTAGACAATTATGTGACACAGTCAACTTTAGTCACCTGTTTAGTCACTTTAGGGCCGCGCTGACCGGGACACCACTTTTGTCAGCTTGAAGTCCAATTTAATCTTCTGTAGTGCTCTTTTTGATTGTCAATCTTTCACCGAGTATATATGCTTATCCCGTCCTAGGAGAAGTGTATTGTTTTGTATTTGGCTAAAATTCGTGTCTTACGAGTCATATGAGAAAGTGTGAAAGCAATTCAGTTAAGAAGTGATATCTAATGCGCGTGTTCTACAGCTTACTGTGTCTCTATAAATGAAAGTTTTACAAAAGAGCGGTGACCGAATTTAGTTTTTTGCGCTATGAAAATGATTCCAATAACAAGTAGAAAAAGAACGAAAAACAATGTATTGAAACATGTTAAGAACCAAGCTTTTCTTCGTCATAGTTTGGAGGTGCTTAGCAATTGGCGGCTTTTAGCGTTTTGTTCAGTTCTATTACTTCGAAATACTGTTTTAATGTTCCAAAAGAATTTGCAAACATGATTCGACGTAGCCTGTTCCAGGCGTTCGGACGGGACAAGGAAAACTACGAATGTAACGACATACAAACAAAATGAACCTTCTATTATGTTATTGGTGGATAGCAAAAGACTGGATTAACCTTCGCTGGTTTCGCTGGCATAGATAGAAAAAATTGATTTGGAGTTACACACGAACTTTCTTAATTAGGCCGTTTTCTTGCAAATGCAGCTCGATTTTCGCTGGCAATGACTGTACCTTTTCCCAATACTTTATTATGTAGCAATCAAATGAATAAACTTGAATATTTAGGAATAATTTGCAAGAGTTCTTCTGTTTCTGCTAATTAAGCATTTTTCTATCTGCATAACTGAAAATTCGAGAAAATAGAGTTCGCAAAAATAGAGTAAGTGAAAAATAGAGTCTTCAGGTCAGTCTCACTCTCTACTAATCACTAAACCAGCTCGCAGATCCGAGATCCCTATTCATATGGAGATTTAGACTAGATTAATCGAAGGACAAAATTTAAAATTGCGATGTTGGTGTTTCGCCACGTTTTTTTGCGGTGATGCGATGTTTGTTATTTTTTTCCGCGGTGTTGCGGTGTGGACAGTCCTCCAATTTCCCCCTCATTATTATACCTTAAACCCTTACGGAACATTAATACATTTCCTCACGTAATTTATAAATCGAAAAAGAAAACAAACTTGTTATGCATTCTAAACAACGTCTTTCAATATAGCAAGATTCGAACACGAAAACGAAATGCGAAGAAAAGCATTAAAAAAGAAAAAAATTTGGAATCCAGCCCTTTTTGGAATCCGGAATCCACTGAGCTGGAATCCGGAATCCAGTACTCGGAATCCGGAATCCACAGGGTGGAATCCAGAATCCAAGACTGTCATGGATTCCCTTACATGGGGCGACATGTCTGCATGTGGGCTTATGACATTGATCTCATGCATCAGGGACAATTCCTCATGCCCAACTCTTTAATACGTGATTGGTAATGAAACTGCAATTCTGTTTCCCTGAAATATGCCAAAAAGGCACTATATAAATGTTGACTTTAATGTCCTAACTTTATCACAACGTGTATAAATGTTGCGTTTTAAATAGCTTTGGGACTGCTCAAAGGTCATCAAAACATCTTTGGACATGTTTTCGGAAGTCTTCAGAAAATTGTCAGAAATGTTTGTAAATTCCAGTAATGACAAGACAAAAACCTCACACATTAACTCAGAAAAAGTTGGCAGGTGTACAGTACTGCATAAAAGTGAGTGACTACCCTCTAGCAAGATGAGAGTTCAGCCTAGGGTTGGGCAAGCATAACCCCTAGAGGAGACTATTCTCTTGCAAGAAGGCTAAAACCCTGTACAGCATGTTGCCCAGTATCTGGCCACTTAAGACAAAAACTCGATTTTTGCAGCACCCTATCTAGTTTTCGGTAAACAAAGTATTTCGAATAGAAGCTGAAGATTTCAGCTTTAAAATGCAAGTTTTGGCGGGTTTACAGCTTGAGAACAGTCGCAGAAGGTGCCGTTCTGTTCAGGTGAGTAAACTTTTCATGGCTAATATTTGCGCTGTTTACTGCGCAGTAAAACTAGTGGTGTTCAAATAAGGGTTTGTAATATGTGATATTTTAAAAGAAACTGTTTTATATTAAAAGTGAAGATACTTAAAGAAGTCAGGTTGTCAGAAAATTCATTAATTCTTCTTGAAATTCAATCTGTTTGGAATAGCAGAGGCTACTATTTATCATAATATAAATAATTACTGCTGCAGAATGAGGTAAAATGAGATCGGAATTTAAAAATTAAGAAACCTTGTACCTAATATTATAATAGAGGTTATTGCCTGACTAATAGTTACTATAATTTCTTTTACTGGTAATCCCAGACCATAATATTTGATAAAACAGTTTAACTTGAGACAGTTAAATAAAATTAAGATGGAATCAATCAGGAAATTGAGTAATTTCAATTTTCAGTGGACAAAAACCTTGTACCAAAATAATTTAAACAATATCGCATTCTTTTTTACATATTTCAAGGGCTATAGATATAATTAGTTATCTGTAATAACACCAAAGACTATTTCTCATGGGAGCCAGAGAAAACAAGAATTGTTAAAACACAGGTAAAATTCTGTAAGATGTCATTTTGTGAAATCTGACATTTATTTTCTCAGGCTCTTATAAGCAATTTTCTTTCGTGTTATTACACATAACTACATGTAATTACATCTATAGGCCTTGAAAAATGTAAAAAAAGAATGCAATAATTGTTTAAATTATTGTGGTACAAGGTTTTTGCAGTCCACTGAAAATTAAAATTACTCAATTTCCTGATGTATTCTGTCTTAGTGTTTCAGAGTAGACGTATATATAATTTGGAGTTTCCTTTGTTTGTTGATATAATTCAGTATTTCTACTTTAAGGAAAAAAGCCACCCACTGTTATATTAAAATGTTACTTTTCTTTCTTTTGCAGTGATATTTCCTTTTTTAAGGCCATTATTCAAGATTTTTGGGACATTGTTGATCGGCTCTGGCGCAACAGAGCAAGCAAAAGCAGCACAGTTTATGATAAATACTGCAAGGAACGTGATTGAATTAAGAAAGCAAACTGGCATGTCACAGGTATATTATTATAGTTGACCTTGACATTGGGTATGCTGTGGTATCACAATCCTGGTCAAAGACTAAATTGTGGCGTTGATCGAGGGTGATGGGTTGCGGGTGCAAATAACTTCAAATCTGTAAGTGGTCAAAAGCAAGAAAACTGCATGTATCATAATTGCTCAGAATTATCAAAAACATATACAAAGCTTTTTTGTAGGCCTACAGAGTGTCTTGAGGATACACCGTGTGAACATAATATTAATAACAACATTAATGGATTTTGGTGATACATTGAAAACACCAAAACTTCCATTTTGAGAAGATAATGTAAAAAATAATATTGATTTCACTTGCATGGTTCAGTTACATTTCCAGTCTTTGAGTACCCTCAGCTGTAAAGCTATAGTAATTTTTAATTCAAAATATTTTCGTTGTTTTAATCCCCTGCCTAATTCTTCAGGTACTGATGAAATATGGAAGGAGCAAGAAATATTGCCTAGTCCCTCTATAGCGTTTTGTCAGGCCTCCTCAGTCAATTCACTTTGGTGGCGTATCCAAGGCGAACGGGCGGGAAACTCTTCTCCGCCTGGACCACGTGACCTGAAATGAATTGGCCGCACGGAATAATGAGGCCTAGGGACTAGGCAACAAGAAATGTACACAATTTATTATTTATACAATTGTATAAGCCAATATACAATCTCAACCTCATCTTTCAGACCTTGTAGAACTGCTTGTAGTAGTGATCAAAAGGTGTTGTTACAGTATTATATAATTAGGTGGTGTCCATTAGGACATGTGGCACTACCATCTTTTAAACTTGCAGATCGAGAGAAAAGATCTGTTGGAGCTGATGCTTAAAGCAGAAATTAAAGACAGTGAAGGTAAACAAGTGAGCAAACTCAGTGAGGATGAAGTTGTGGCACAGAGTTTTGTATTCCTCTTGGCTGGATATGAAACAACCAGCAATACTTTGTCATATGTAACATACTGTTTGGCATTGAATCCTGAAGTGCAAGAAAAACTCATCAAGGAAATTGACGATGCTGTTGGCGACAATGTAAGTGCAAAGTCAGAAGGCAAGGTGAAAGGTGACAAATTAAGTGAAATTAGGGAATAATTTCACATGCATTTTAGGCGAGGGATATTCAGGGCTCGAAAAAAGTCCCATCCGGTCGTCCACGACAGGTAGTTTTTGGCTTCGGGCAAGTTACGTTCCTGGCTAGCTTGCCTGACGGGCAAGGGCATGGATAAGCCTCCACCTTTAGCGGGTTCAAGAAAGCTTGTGAAAAATAGAAATTAGTTCATTTTCGTGCCGTTGTTACTAAAATAAAAAAAACATATCTTGTGTTTAAAATATAAGGGCGTGGCGCAACTTCAACTGAAATGAAAGTGAAGGTGAGGTACGTTACGCAAAGAAGCAAGGTATTTCAATTTTTAGACATATCGCGCGATGCGCGTACTATAAGTATACAATGCGGAAATTACCAGTGAACTACTTGAAAAAAAGGCGCATGCAACTTAAGTTCTATTCAGCGACTCCATTTTTTAAAATGAATCATGAAGGGGGTTTCTTCCTGAAAGTCGGCAGATGAGACTCGAAAGTGTTCTTGTTGGAATACCTAGATGCTTAGACGTACTGATCATAAACATTGAGATAACCATTTCTAGTATTTCAAAGAAACTTTTAAATTACTCGATCAGTCAGGTGTTGATGAAATAAAGAACATTTTTTTCTTGGAAAGGAACAAAAAAGCCGAAGAACTCATAAACTGATAAGAACTGATCAAAATCTTCTGAGGTCATATTTCTATTACGTGGTCCGTGTGGTTTATAACTCATCGTATTCTTTTTACGCTGCGGCACATTTAAGCCTACGTTTTGTCGGTCAGTTTCTTCACTTTTACTGTTTGAATCCATCTTGATGTTCTCTTTCGTGTGTTTAGGTTTTCTAAAGCGTCTTTTAATGCCCGGACATCTTCTATTCATAACATTTTAAAACTTTGTCACCATCTTGGCAGTTACGGAAGGTTGCCATGTCAATTTTGTAATTTTACATGGGAAATTACAGATGAAAGCAGAAATTTCACACCCAAATTAAGGAGTAATTTGTCATGTATGATATTATCAAGTAAATTAAATGGTAACAAAAATTATTATGATAGGTTTTCGCGGAAGATGAGCAGTTTTTTTTAAAGAAAATGCCATGTAGGATTGATTTATATTACACTCTCAGATTATTCTGATCATTCTTGCTCCAATCAATGGTGGTGCCTCATCATCATTATCATCATCATCATCAATCTTAATTAATTTTACTTATGAAATCATATCATTTTTACATGGTCTTCCTAGGAATCGTGTGTAAAATTAGACTAAAATAAGTAGTATACTGTGTTGAAACTTAACCCCGTTGGTGCCTTCCCTTGCCTTCCGTATGCCTTCCCTTAATTGATATGCATAAGCCTATGACGTCACCTCGGAATGAAGTGTCTTCCTGCATACTAATTTGGATTAGGTTTACTAATGAGCGTCACTCTACTACAATAGGAACAATAGGCTTGCCTAGACTTGCCCGTGAAGTAACTTGAGCCCGGTTTTCGGACAGTCTATTAAAAGGAAAATAGGAATAAGAGAAGCGATCGAAGTTTATCTTTTTAATTAGTTATTTTGTATATATTTCAGTTATAATCATAACTATAACAAAATTCTCAAATCTGATTGGCTACCAAATGCCCTGATTTCAGCCTTAATAGGACAATTTAATAGGATAGTACGTGTTATGCCTAAGTAATTGGACAGTACGCACCATCATGGCATGCTTAAATGGCTTTTTTTCACTGTTAGCAAAGCAATCTTGGAATTTCTTCTTTTTTGATTTAAAAAGAGCCTTTATTTCACAAATTTTGTTAAGTTATGATTAATTGGTAACAGAACTTCGTGTCGTCTAATTGAGATTGTAATCATACTCATGATTAAACAAATCGAACTTTCATCTACCAAATTGGACTCCACTCAGTCCTGTTACCATTACTAATTATCTACTCATTTTTAATTTCTTATTTTAATGTGTAATACCTGCAAAGTAGCTAGTGAGTTTTCTCACAGAAAGCTTAAAGCGTATATTACACAATAAATTTGACTTGATGTAATGACAATGACATTGACAATGCTGATAGCAAGAGAAAAACAGTTAAAATGAACCACAATAAAAAGTGGCCGCAGGAACTGAAACCTTGTATTCTGTAGCACAAACCCACAATGTGCTTACAAGGATGATCTGTACCCAGGTTATTTAAGGCATCCAGTTTGTCTTTTGAATTCCAATTATGATCTGAGTTGTTGAACCCAATGTTACTTGCTGCTCTTAAAATAGCTAATTTAATTACTTGAAAGTTAATTATGGATGACATTATTTTCAACAGGAAACTCCTGACTATAATGTCGTGCAAAATTTGGAATATCTGGACATGGTGATTTGTGAAGCATTGCGTCTATACCCCCCTGCCCCCAGGTACAGTATAGACTTCTTTCATAATGGCAGTCTATTAAAATATTCTTTTATGCTTCAATTTCCCCGGCAGAATAGCAAAAGAACAAACTTAGACAAAATGAAATGTGTGCTGAGCTGTGTTTGCAAAGGCAATATAAAACACATGGTGGAGTAAAATGGCTATGTGAACATAGAACACCTAGCCGGTTTATTAAACTTAGAATACCAAGTCAAAATATCAATACAAACTATCATTAAACATGTATTGCCTGCGAAGGTGAGGGCAATGAAACCGCAGTAACAGTAATATCACCACCGTACAAGAAAGAGGCAGGAGCTGGGGAGGAGGTGCGTCAAGGAAAAGGTTTCAGTGTCAACAAAATCACAAACACGACGGCCATTAAACGAAGATCCATGAATACGATGTTAATTGTGTACATCATGGCGGATTCAAAATTTAAACATTATCTTTTGTACCAAGCCCCCAACCACTTCTCGCGCAATGGGTAAAATAATAGACCTTTTTACCGATACGGCGGCCATATTGAATTAATTCGATTTAAGGAGTATTATAGGATGCCCAGGGGGCATGAGCACGTTTCGTTTGTATTTTCGGGCACTTTTCAGGACATTTTTTCTTAAAGTTTTCTTAAAATAAGATTGTAATGGGAAAAAAGATCCTTGTGCCGTGTTTGGATGTAATAATGATCGTCTTTTTCTAGTTTAGTATTAGAAATATAGTCTTTCACTCCATATTTCTCGGGAAAAAGGCGATCATTATTACATCCAAACACAGCACAAGGATCTTTTTTCCCATTACAATCTTATTCTAAGAAAACTTTACGAAAAAATGTCCCGAAAAGTGCTCGAAAATACAAACGAAATGTCCTCGTGCCCCCTGGGCATCCTATAATACTCCTTAAATCGAATTAATTCAATATGGCCACCGTATCGGTAAAAAGGTCTATTATGTAAATTTATGGTTCAATTTTCGGATAAAATTTTATTTGCAAGCAAATAATGTGTTTATATGTTTGTAATTAGCCTTTCTGATCTCGTTTGAAAGGAAGAATTCTTTTGTATTTTGCACTTGCCAAGGATGTCAGAAAGGCTAATTATCATACATATATAGAGGATATTACACGGTGGCGAGAAGATATGAATTTTATGTTCGAGTGGCAAGAACAGTATCTCACGAGTGAGCGAAGCGAACGAGTGAGATATTGTCCTTGCCACGAGAACATAAAATTCATATCTTCGAGCTAACGTGTAATGTTCTTTTTATTATATGGAGAAACCAATTCAACAAAAGCAAAAGGCGGGAATCGTGACGTCACTGAACGATACGACACTCACAAAGGTGACATACGGAAAATACGCCACTAGGGTCCCGGATGAAGTGGCGTATGGAATCTACGAGTGGTTTAGTTCCCAGTAAAACACTCTCCTCCATATAATAAAAAAGAATATATTAATAGGCTGTCATCATGAAAGAGGTCTATAACAGAATTCACCCCTGTGCACATAAATTTTCCTCCTAAAAAAGTCTTCCATAACAATAATTAAGCCCGTACGGTGACTATCTCTATTATGCAGATCCCTACAGGATGTTGCTAGTGCTTAGAAAAGGTATCCACATTATACAGGTCTGTTTTACTGAAAATATTCTTTTCGTTTGAAATTGAAAGTAAACGTTGGGGCTTACTTATGCTTGGGTCCGCTTTACATGTTGTCAGCTGCTTAATGCGGGTTATATTTTAGGATTGCGTTCTGGTACAAAACGAACCATTATTAGGGAGCTTAAGCAACACCGTTTTTGGGCGACAGACGTCAACCGGAAGTGGACTTTTTGCATCATTGGGCAGTGACTTTGTTGAAACTCTCGGGTAAATCGTCTTTATAAGAGAAAAGGAACTTAGCAATACAGATTTGTACACGTCAAGGCATATAAAAAGGGAGAAGGCCTCACTTCTGGTTGACGTGCTCGCTCAAAAACGTCTTTGCTTGAGCTTCCTATTGTCATGTCTTCAAACTGTAACTCTATTACTTAAACTCTGTTACAGACTGCAAACTGCCATATTATTATAACTGCACTTGGATGACATTTACAGTCAAGTTGCCATTTTTCAATAAACTTTGGTACATTGAGAGGAATTGCTGACGAGTGCATCTGAAAAACCTGCTCTCGTTAAATTAAAGTCCATGCTATTAGAAGGCCTTGATAACCATAGTATCTGAGTTTATAAATTTACAGTATGCTCTTGTCTTTCGTCTTCTGGTCATATAGGTTTGGTCGTTTATGCAATGAAAGCTGTACATTAAATGGTGTGAAATTTGTCAAGGGGTCCATAGTGCTTGTTCCTGTGTACCATATTCATCGGGACCCAGAGTATTGGCCTGACCCTGAGAAATTTGACCCAGAAAGGTAAGAGAGATCCAAAACAATTACCTTGTTTCTTCAAATAAATGCCCATTCTTTGATAAGTGCTCCCCCCTCCCAAGGCCATAATATCAAATAAGTGCTACCCCTCCCTCTGCCCTGCCCTCACTCTTTTTAAATATTAGGGATACAAGGAAAACCAGTAGTTATTGCCATTTATTGATTTTTTAACTTTATAGGCTTCAACTACAACAGAATCAGTACAGGAGAATAGTTTCTTTTCCATTCTTTCTATATCCATTTGCTTACTGGGTTCCTTAATGTGCGTTAAGTGTTTACAACTATGGTACACTTGATTATTAAGCACTGTTTCAACAAACGAAACACGTCACATAAGTAACAGTTCGTTTAAGAGAGAACATAATGTAATGTAGTGTGTTTATTAGTTTTCCACTAAATGGATTTTAAAAACTAATTACAATCAATACTAAATACATTAAAATTAAAAATCTAAAATTCTAATAGATGCTAAAATATATCACATTACTAATTCAAAGCTACTGAGAAATTCCTTTAAATGTCTTCTGAAGATTGGCAAATTATCACATCCTCTTATTTCACATGGAAGAGAATTCAAGAAACTCGTTGCACGGTTTAAAAATGTGCGTTGCCCAGATGCTGACTTATAAGCTGGGATATTCAAGTAATTCTTATATCTAGTATTACGGTCATGAACGCAATCACGTGTCTTAGATCTATGACAAAGGTAGCTAGGGGCTAACCCCTTAACACATTTAAATGCTAAAACTCCAAGTGTATATTTAAGAAAACTGGTCACGGGGAGCCACCTTAGCTCTCTTAATGCCGGTGTTATATGATCAAATTTCCGCTTTCCAGTGATAATTCTACAAGCAAAATTCTGAACTTTCTGCAGCTTCGAGATATTTTTCTTTGAAGTATTAGACCACACCGGAGAACAGTAGTATAACTTGCTAAACACTAAGGCGTTTATAACCCGTTCTAATGTCCTAGCATCAAACAGATGCTTTACCCTATTAATCTGACATAAGCTACCTATGCACGAGGACACTGTTTGGGTGACATGTTCATCATAGCTTAGAGCGCTGTCCACCTGCAGGCCAAGGTCCCGAGCAGAAGGAGATGGAGTGACCTTCTTTCCAAGGAGAGTGACATGAAAATCAGCGGGCAGCCTCGGAAGCATCAGGCGTGTGCCCAACACCAGCAGCTTGGTTTTCTCTGGGTTTATGAGAAGGCTGTTATAGCAGCACCAGCTGCTGTTGAATCATATTACTAGCCTCAGCAGCTGGGAACGAAAGGTATAGCTTTGAATCATCGACATATGATTCTAGAGAACACACGTCCGGTATAGAAGGAATGTTGTTGAGGTAGATAGTAAACAAGGCGGGCCCCAAGATTGAACCCTGTGGGACTCCATGTGAGACACCCTGCAAGCTTGAGGTCTCAGCTTCGATCCTGACACATTGCAGCCGTTCAGAAAGGTAGCTCTTGAACCAATCCAGAGATACACGGGAAACACCTAGCGCCTGCAGTTTTGCAAGGAGGGTTACATGATCTATGCTGTCGAATGCTTTCGACAAGTCCAGAAGTACCACAAGTGTGACTTTCTTTGCATCCATAGCCTCCAGTGCTTTGTCCGTGATCATGACGTTAAGGGTTTCACACGAATGAAGCTTCTTGTTACCACTTTGGTGTTCGCTGAGGCGCTTTTTGGTGGTCATATATGTCATTAATTGATTCAGAGCAACACGCTCACAAATCTTTGACGCAGCAGGAAGCAACGAGACTGGTCGATTGTTGTTTGGTATCTCATGATCTCAATCTTTTAGAAGTGGGATGACTTCAGATATTTTCCACGCTGCAGGAAAAACTGACGACATAAGGATCGATTCACAATGTCCGTCAGCACAGGCAGAATGCAAGGGAGCGCATCTTTAATCACAGACATGGTGACTTTATCAAACCCCGGAGCTTTGTTAGATGAAAATGACATTACGGCTCTACGAATCTCGTGACTCGAAACAGCGCGAAAATTAAACTTCTCATCCATAATATATTGTCCATTAGTGAAATCGTTTGGCGGAGACAGTTCATGAGTAGCAATCAAGGCTTTAGATGCCTCTGATGCTTTAGCGCCAACAGATACAAAAAACTCGTTAAACTCCTCTGCGACCGCATTAACTTCCCTCGTGTACACTTGCTGCGTAGCCTCCTTTATCGGCAGACAATTCCTTGTCAATTTCCACTGAGAACTAGTATTCTGACAACCTTGCCCCCCCTTCTTTAAGCGCCCTCCTTTCATTAAGCATCCATCCTTTCAGCTGAAATTTGAAATAAATGCTTGGGTGCTTATTCTAGGAAACAATTATGGTAAGTTCCTTTATAGTTAAAAAAAAATACTGTAATCTGTCTTGGACACGTTTAGGTCAGCTCCAGGTATCAACCTTAGAAAGTTGTTCCCTTAAAGCTATTTATTAGCGAATTCTAAGAAAGATGATTAGCCCAAATTCAGGATTAGTCTCAACCCGTACAACGTATGAGTAATTCCTTACCAGGTGTTGAACAACACTAACTTAAGATCACATTTGTTGAGACCCATATACCCTGTTGTCCTTTACAGGTTTTCAAAGGAAGCAAAGCAGAAGCGCAACCCATACTGCTTTCTTCCATTTGGAACAGGACCCCGATCTTGTATTGGAATGCGATTTGCACTCATGGAGGCAAAAATAGCATTGGTGTACTTGCTTAAGAGGTTTAGGTTCCAGCGAAGTGCAGACACTGAGGTATAGTCTGGACTTAAAAAAATAATAATTATGTACAATAATTTCATTGTAAGGTATTTTTATTTGCATACCAATTTTCAGATGATTGTGAGATATATGTGAAAGCAGTGTCCAACCATGGATGTGGAAGGAACATTTTTTGAATTAAAATGAGAGGAATTAAATAGTAATGTTTATATACTGGTACTACTTATGGTTTGAAAATCGAAAAATGTCCTGTGTGTAGTTGACATTATCCTTTGAAGGCCTCACCGCTGAACTTTTTTAAAAAAAAATTATAAAAACTATTCAATCCTCGACCGAGTCAAGCCTAATCATCATCATCATCATCCTTTGGTTGCGCAGTAGTCGACCACAAGTTTCCTCCATTGATGGCTGTCTTGAGCCATCTCCAACAGCTGATTGTCATTTAGCAGATTATCAGGATCCCCCAGAACCTAAGAAACCTTCCTTTTAACAGTGTCAACTTCTAGGGGTCACCCCTCCCCCCCCCCCTCCCCAGCCTGGCCAGGGATGTTTGTTCCTTGAAAAGATGTTGTGGTTCTGTACAACTTGAATACAACTGCGGGAAACACTAACAAAATGGACAACAATCAACACTAACAAAATGGAACTGAAAACAAATCATTTCTTGGCAGCGAGTAAACGTATTTTTTCGAAAAAAGTCACAAAGCCTGTTAGATTTTAGACTTCCTGGTGCAGTTTGTTTGTAGGGTGTATACATGTATTCAAGGCGGCAGCCACCCTTATGAAAAGTTCAAACAGACCTCTCATTTGCATTTTCCTTTTTACATTTTAGGTTCCCCTTCAGCTAGAGGCACCAATTACGATGTCGCCCAAGAATGGAATTTACGTCAAGATTGTTCCAAAGACATAAGGAGCAGTTCTTTCATTAAAACTCGTAAAATAGCAAGAAAAAAACTGTATTGCGAATTGTGTTATTGCCAATGTAACTTTGTTATGTATTGCCACAAATAATAAAACCAATTTTACTAACCTGAAACTGACACAAGCTTCTTTTATGGGGAGTTCCTCCACGTTACATGGCAACTGAGCTGTCCTACTGTAACTAAACAAAATACTCCAAAAAAACATCTGATGTGATGGTTAATAAACAGTTATTGGATGAGGTTGAGCATAATATCATGACGTATCAAAACCGAGGTCTGTATAAGACACGAGGTTTTGATAATTCATGATATCATGCGAAAACCGAATTCAATAATTGTTTTATTATACATTTTTTAAACAATTGGCAAAAGAAGACATTCAGCCATTCTGTTTCTGAGGAGAACACTCCAAGGGGCTTGGTAACCAGGCAGACGTTGAACTTGACATGATAAATGCCGTATCTGCAGCAGATATTGCATTTATCATGTCAAGTTCACAACCTATTGTGAATTGATTGAATGCTCTCGACCAATCAGATTTTTCATAGTGAGTCTGATGTATAATAATAGAAATAGGAAGCGTCGACTGATTTCCGCTTAAGATAAGAACCAAGAACCAAGTGTTGTTCTCTTAAGCAAATGCGTTTGAATCCCATCTTTAACGCCTTTTAAGCTCATATATAATTTCTGGCTATAATCGTGAGTTTGAATCCCACTTTTTCGAGGTCAGTAATCTAGTAAACAAGGTAGAATTTACTAGACGGTTGTGGTTTTGAATCTTATTTAGAAGATTGGTTTCGTTGTTTCAGCCCTCTTCCTACTCTCTTATTAAAAAAAGATCAAGATTCAGAGGTTTATCTTGCAGTATAAATGAAGGGGTTTGAACCCCTTCCTTTTAAAGCCTCTCCATCCTTAACCCCTGATTTCAGGGAAACAAAGGGCGGGTTGGGGTGACGTACAGCAAACGTGCTTTCGGGATTTGAATCCCCGGCCTCCAAAATCCTCTCCATAAACCTCCTGTGTCAGGTTAAAGAAAATAAGATTTCTTTGGAATGTAGAAAGTGGAACCAAATCAGAACGTCCTCCGTTGTAACTGACAGCTCAACCACCCTTCTGTAACTAAACAGAGCGCTTCAAGCAAGTGTAGTATCATAAACAAGTAAAATGTGGCTCATAAAACCGTGGAATGAAATTCAGTGAATTGACAAAGAAAAAAAATAAACATACGTTACCCTCGGTGGGACAGGGAGGCTCCTTCATCACTCTTGGGATCACGCGGGTATGTTCACTTTGCTGCAAAGACGACTTCTTAAGTGCATCTTGAAGGCGCGCGCCTCAACATGGTCTTGATAAGCCTCTATCACTTGAACGGCGGATCCAAAAGCTGGTTGAAAAATCGCCAGTTGAGGTCATCTTCTAGTTTAGAAATAATCGGATAGTAGTTTTATCGAAATCATCTTGACGGTCATTTATCAGCACATCAACGAGGATGATCTTGGCATCACTTCAGAACAATCATAAGACCATGCGACAATCTTCACGGGAGGCGGGGAAAAAATGCCATCTTTCTTGCATCTTGAAGGCGCGCGCCACGTAAGGGTGTGTCTCACTTTTGTGCTCCTGCGGTTTGAGCAACGGTAGGCGAAAAAGTTGCTGCTTGATGCGGTCATCTTTATTAAAAATCATCTTGGCGGAAGTCTTTGCGTTATTCAGTAGTGGCTTCTATTTTCACCCAAATCATCTTGAAAGCCTTGTTGTTAAAAATTTATTGAAGCATCGACATGTGGCGACGAAAAAACCTAACAGGAAAAGTTCCTGAAATAAAATGTTTTCGTTAGTATTGATTTGTTTTTAACGAGTATAGGTTTAAATGAAAGAGAGACGAAGCCAGAATTTTGTCGGTCTTTATTGATTCTTAAAGTTACAAAATTTGAAGCGCGTGATGTTGGTTTAAAGCCATCGTTGAGGATTTCGACGAAAAAAAGCCTGAAATGCAGATGGTCCTGAAATAGAACGCGTTAGTAGCCGAAAGATGTCCCTGAAAAGTAAAATATGGTTAGTTTGTTAAGTATTTAATGCGCAGCAATTAAGTTTAAAGAAAGACACGAGACAACAGCGTTTTTGTTTTTATTAAATTCAAGCTGCCATTACACAATTTTAAAAATAGCTAGCCGGGTGTAGAACGCGCTCCTACGTGAAAAAAATTTTGTATCCGGGGTAGTTAACCGAGAAATGTTCATGTGCCTGGAAACTTGCACTTCGAATGAACACTCCAGGGTCCCCCAGATATAACACGCGGAATATGACCAACGGCTTGCTATCGAGAATTAATTTGTCGATACCAAGCCTTCAATAATAGACCGAATGCCGAACCTAGACGAAGAGCCGAATCTTGAACCGAACAATAGCCGAATTGTTCTTAACAAAAAATAGCAATTTTCACTCACCTGGTTCCAAGATAGAGTGTTTTTCTGGAGCCGATTAATTCGGTGCAGCATTTGCTAATAAACGATCATTCGCAGCAATTGTTGTGTTTCGATGGCCTTTTAAATTTGACAGACAAGGCAATTACCGGCAAAATCAAGAATCTTAAAGTTGATAATTGCTGTATCGTGAATGTCTTAACTTGCGCTTTTCCAATAGAAACTCTTGCGGTAATAAATCAGCATTAGAAAATGCTGCACCAATTTAATCGGCTCTACCTTTTGATATGTCCTGCGGCATCTGTCCAGATCAGTGGAGAATCTTGGGCGTGCATCAGTTGCGCAGACCATGGGATGGATGACGAATGCACCATGTGTCGAAGCTTCGGCCGGCCGATTAACTTATTTTATATTAAGAGCAGTTTCAACTAATATTGACACAACATGGCCAGCGCCAATTCTTTAGCAAGCTTCATTACCCAAAAGGCGAGCTCTGCAGTTGGGTATCAGATGTTTTCGATGCAATTGTCTAGTTTCCGCTGAAGAGCTCATATGCGTCCCCAATGTGGGCCCCATTCAAATTGTTTTCTATCGATGAGGACATTTTTATTGATGCGTTGGTTATTTGAAAAATCTAAAAAGTGTCAAATTAGTTGAAACAACTCAGTATTCAATTTAAAGATATTACTATATGCTATATAGCTATAGCATGATTTACATTTCGTTGCCAGGAATAGCAAACGATCTCGACATGCCAATGACCTGAGTTCGTTCGTCCGTTTCATGGTTGATGTTTTTTTCCCGTCGATAGTTATCATCGAGGAAAGCAACTGACTAGCCTATATTTCTAAATTTACTACGAGCTGCCAAGAAAGGTTGACGGCCGGCCGAAAGGAACCAAACTGATCCGGTGGGCATGTCGACGTGAAGAACTGCCTGCGTCTACTATTTGCAGACGTTAAGCGCCTGCGTGGTGCAATGCAGGACTTTCTATAACAGGACATTCACTCCACGAGGTAAGATTAACAAAAAAACGAACGCGATCGTCTAAGTGTTAACCATGCCATAGCGCAGAGAAAAGTGCCCCGTCTACCTGCCTAACTATAGCAAAGCAGTCACAAGAGTGAACTAAAACTCGACTTCGGGACTCTCGCGCGCATGTGATACACGAAAGAGGGAGAGCTGGAGATCTCTTCCCCGCTCACGTGCACCCCACGCGCGCAACTAGAATCACTCTTGTTACCCAGCTATTCTAGCATCTAACTGCCAGCTTCCTGTCTTTTGTCGTGATCGTTTGAGGTCTCTCCGTCGTAAAATGAACTGAAAGGCTACTTACAATACTACTTACAATACGTAAATTATCTAGCTAGGGTGTGTGCGTTGTCCCATAGTTCCCTTTGGTAACCTGCGATCAAGGCGTTCTCTTTACATATAGAACTGCCTGATCACACGCTACAGAAAATGTGTGACTAAGTAGAGCTAGTACTCTATAACTGATCTACTTTCGCAAACTGGCTTTAAGTGCATGAAGACCCCTGTTTTTTGTTTTTTGTCTGCGGACATTTTCCTAGTTCAGTATGATGGTTTTTGATATGTTCGTAACTTTTCAGCGAGCAATTGACCAAAACGCTTTATTTTCATAAGGGCAAATGATAACCAATTCTAATCTAAAGCTTTTTAAAAGAGGTCAAAACACAACCAAATTTGCGAGGCTACACTAGCTATCTGTATGTAATTATATACTAGAGAAACCACTAAACTTGCAGGCGGTTGCCAAATAAGGTCTCCCTACAGCAGTTGAATGGTCTTCTTTAGTCTCTAGTTTTCTGAATTATTATTTCAATTATGTAAAATCTGGTTGAACCTTACGAATGAAAGCTTCACTTGCGCAGAGCTCATACTGACAGGTGAAGTGTAGCATATTAATTGAATTTGGCGCAACTAGGCGGCGTAGATTATGCGTTGAAGAAGACCGCGATGTCGATGACGGCGGAGACGAAGATTATCCAAAACGACTGAAGATAAAAAGAAAGTCGCCGAAAAGTCGTTAAGACATCAATCGATGGAGTCGCTGATCGGATAACCTGCAAAGGAACCCAATGGAAATGAAAAAGGGAGAGGGGAGGCCCTTACCGCACCTTGGGTTTCCCGGTTAGTAATTAACTACATTTAAACTAATCCGAACAAGAAGTCCGCGCGCGGACTTGAGGCCGAACGTGTGTGGAGTGTATGATTTGTAAGGTTCAACCAGCGCTTTTATTAATTATTAGCCACCCACTGCCCTTCCCATTTGACTGACCAGTAGTGTTGTCTTGTTTGGCTGAACGAAGCTGATTCGATGGTTGAGAAGATCGTTTGCAGTGGCCCTTTGGCTGTCGTTGGTTGCGTGTTCATTAATCATACTAGGGCTTAGAAGTAGGCAATCATGGTGTTAGGAAGGAACGAAGTGAATCATCTGTGAACAAAGCAAATACAAAAATTGTGTTGAGAAACAGCTCCTGTGAGTTATTTTGGTGTATTTTTTTTCGAACGGGCTAAGGAAGTAACAGCTTGTTTATGTATAACTACAAATGAGAAACCAGTTGTACTAACCTGAAACTGACACAAGCTTCTTTTCTGGGAAGTTCCTCCGCGGTACATGGCAACTGAACTGTCCTGT